CTATTGTATAGCGAAACACTTATCGCGGTTTTGTAAACTTTGTGGAAATCTCACATTAGGGTTTTTGATAGAATCATTCAAATTTTTTGCTATACCTTCATTTAAGTTGTCAGCCAAGACACCGCAATTTGATAGCAATATAATAGTCTGGTGTTCTTCAAGATGTAACCTGATAATCTCATCCAAATACTCTGGACTAAAAATTTACATCAAAGTGCAAGAGACTTTAAAGTTTTGGGTTTTAATGAATTTTGACTTTTGGAAAATAATTACTCTGAAAATTTCCATATAATCAAGAATGAAATATCATGTTGCCTGCTAATTTCAAGAAGCTACAAACTGCATAAGTCCTTCAAACTTTACCAGCCAGGTTCCAAAGCATTCAATGCGTAGGTTGACCAAATAAAACAAAATCTCGTATGTACACAAACTCATTACTTTATTAAATTTTGTCATACAATAAAAGCGGAGAAGACTCCACTTGTTGCCGCACACGCATACAGATTCACTTAGACACTACCTACAATTACTTTATTTTTTAAATAAAAATTGTTAACCTAATTACAGAAAAGGGAAGGATTTTTCCCTAATTAGTGAAGACGAGTTTCCATTTTGATTTTCTTCATACCACACGTATATCAAAAAATAAATGTGTCCCAACTATTCATTTGGCTCCAAGATAGAAAAAGAGTACCTTCCCTAGGCAATGCCAGACAGTCTCTTCATGAACCCAAAGAATGGAATGATAAAAAATCGGCATGAAGATGAGATGAACAAACCTGTTGGAAGAAAAAAATTGTAAATTTCATTTTAATTTCAACAGAATTTTCTTAAATAATTCACGAAATAAAAATTTCTCCCTGAAACTATTCACTTATTGAACCATTTTAGTTTTTATATTCACTACATGATTCAATCTAAACACAATCAATATTAAATTTCATTTGTCATTGATTATACAGCAAAATTGAAAAATATACATTCATTTTTCGAATATTTTGAAAATCTTATGGTCAGAGACAAAGTGCTTCACCTTTTGAAGTAATATTCCAATATCATATAAAAACATTATTTCAGCTACTTCATTCAATAGTCATCAATAGTAAAATTGGCAATTATGGTTCTTAAATATGTTATTAAAGTTTTACTGTACAATTCAAGTTGTTTTAACGTTAAAACAAAATTGTTGAAAATTTGCAAACAAAATTTATGACCCATTTTTGTAATGCTATAGCTATTTTGACATTTTCATTTAAACTATTAACGATTCACTGAAATTTTCCATTACGACTGCTAAAATGAGATTCTCAAAAACCAAAGGTAATATAATTCTTAACAGAACTAAAAATCCCTTCACTTACCAGAATATTCCGAATCACAACTATTCCGTAATCTAAAACTAGTAAGGTTGATGCCTTTGACCGCCACGCATGCCACCGCCTCCTCTGGGTTTGTTGCCTTGGTAACCACCACCACCACCACCAGTAGCACCTGCAAAAGAAAAAGCGGTATAAAAATTTTAATATTATACCAATCCTACTCACTAATTCAACTCAAAACACATTCTCTCTCTCGCCACTTGCGTTGTCTATATGCCATATAGTTGTCTCTTCTCTATAATAAGAGAAGACACAATTTTTTTTTGGTGTGGCTCACGAGTCACTTTTATTGTGAACATTGCTGCAATCAAAAATCATTCAACAAGCGGGAAATTCTTTCGATATCAACAGGACGCAGTTTTCATGTGGAAATGTTCGAGATGAATTACGACTCAAGACAAGTGCCGAGTTTAATTAGTTTAGCTTGAGGTGATGGCATCAACACTGGATCTAATGAAACAAAAGGACTTCCCTAGTAGGTTTCAGTGCATAACTTCCATCAGGACAAGCACAAAAGTCAAAAACCAAATACAGGGTATTTTGAAATACATTAAAAATATTTGTAGATATTCAAAAGTCTGAAATATCACCATTTACGTAATCGAAATTTAACAAAATCAATGAAAATCAAGTGAAGAGTGAATAAAAACAAATACCCTGTACACAATGTCTAGAACACTACCACAAGTACCTTTTCCACGAGGATTATTACTGCGTCCACCTCCATATCCTCCGTTATAGCCATATCCCTGGTCTGCATATTCAAGTTGAAAAATTGATTAGCTACTTTTTACATTATCATTCAAACAAATAAAATATTACTAACTTATATTTATATGCTAGATGTACCTAGTTAAATGTGTAGTATTTGGGCTATTTAGCAATCAGGATTTTTTCCATTAAAATAAAAATTATAACCCAAACTGAAAAGAATTCACCCATCCCAATGCCAAGACCAAAAGTCACATGAATATTAATATTCAGGCTACTTATGAGCCAAACTTTTTCCCCTTTTAATTAAAATTTCAAAGTTAATGTAGGGATCGGGATCTGTCAAAAACTTCAATCTAATCCTCGACAGTTTATTTACCACAATATCTGCCTTCTTCACAGCCTACTTGCGCAAGGATAGGAACAAAACAAGGTGTCGACCACATCTAAATATATTACGTCTTAAAAGATAAAATGTATAATTAATTAAATAAATGTTCTGACAGAGTATATCAGCGTGAATATCACACTGCCATAATATACATAGATTCCTCCTTGTGTTAGAACAGGTTGGCGATAAATAAGAGGGAAAACCTAAATTTTGAAATTTACAGAACATATTCCATTAAATTAAGACCACAGAAAATAAACTGAATATATCTCAATACATAAAAAATTTTGGAACTCAAATGAAATAATAAATCCTATCTCCCCCAAGAATTTGTTGAATAACAATTTTACACTCAAATTATTTGTGAACATTCATATGAATTGAGAAAATGGGAACATTTTAAATGCTTGTATACTTTTCTCACTCACCTCTTTGTCTTTGATGGTTTGCTTTGGCATTTTCAAGAGTTCATTTACAACTTGCTCGGATTCAAAGGTGATGAAACAGAATGCTTTCCTCTGATTCTTGGTTTTGTCAAAAGGCATTTCAACTTCCAAAATCTGAAACAATATAAAATGTTATCTTCAAAATTGCAAGTCATTATATTTTCGTCATTCTCACCTGACCAAACTGACCGAAATATGACTTGATATCATCATCGCTCAATTCTGCTGTCAGTCCACCGACAAAGATTTTACCGTGCCTCGCTTTGGCTTTCTTGGGGTCAATCTTCTTTCCATTGATGATATGGTCGCCGGCGTTTACAACTTTTTCAATGGCATCTGTGGAGGTGAAGACAATAAACGCAAAACCCCTGGACCTGCCAGTGTTGGGATCGGTTTTCACATTTATGCTTTCGATATCTCCATATTTCGAAAAGTATTCACGAAGTTCCTCTGCAAAGATAGAGAAAAATTTTAAGAAAAAGCTTTCAGGTGTTGGAACAATCAGCATGATACAATATGCCTCAGAATTGTGAATTACATCAAAATGATTCAGTAGCAGAACTGACAATTTAAAAATCATCATGAAACCTTAGTAAGTAAAATACAACGTTAATACAACGAGAATTTTGTATTGTTCACTGGTAATATCAAAAAAGTACAGAATAAATTCTTGAGGATTACTGCTTACAAAATGGGCTTTCTTTCGACTGGGACATCACAACTATAATTACATCTGTTCAATCCTCCACTTGACAACTTTGGAAAATAGGCAAATCCAAACAGACTTTTTGTATGTTGTTAGCAGGTCAATATTTTTGACTTATTAACTTATTAATATTAATTTTTGAGTGAGAGACAGGGAAACTAGGATCAAGAATACTATCTTCATTTTACGGACAAATTCAAGAAATTAAGGATTATGAGTCTAATCTGAATTTTTCACTCTATTGAGTCATTCAAAAGATTTGGTAATCACTCATAACCAAATCATTCAAACCCTATATTGCAAATGTTACTTCTAGAGCACTAGATAGACAGATAGATAATAGCACTAAAATGTTAGGTTCCACTCTTAGATCTGCAGATGAATTATCTCTATCCCATCCTTAAAAATAATATATTGTTGTTAGATCAATAATTGAAATACAACCACAATTTAGTGCTCCACATATAATGTGAATATCGATATGCTTGAAAGTGTTCAAAAGAAGTTTTAAGGTACTCTGCATACAAACTGGGTCATCATGTTGGTGAATATAACTGTAAAATTATATTGGACGTTCTTAACTTGAATACTCTAGCTCATAGAAGATTGGAGCCAGAATTATTCACAAAATAATCAATCATTAATTCCCCAGAATTTTAACCCAAATGTGAATCAAGAGAGAATAATACAGAAATCCTTTAAGTAACCTTTTACGGCTAACAACTATCGGCAGAATGAGTAGGCAGAATTTTCAAAATAAATGTTAACTTTGATTCCCCTCATTGAAAACCATATCAGTACTTAATGATAAAGATATTTTTGCCAATGATTTCAAGAAATGAAAATAATGAATTTTACTATTTATAAAGGTGAACAATCCAGCTTTGAGATTACAAACATTGAAACTGATGGCTTATAAAAAACATGCTGTTTGAGACTGGTGCCTTTGACATTTCTTATTCCACAGTTGAAAACAGCAATTCCAAAATATCAAACTATCACTAAATTTTGGTTTGAAGAAAAATTATACTCACTATCTGTCGTTTCCCAGCTCATACCACCAACAAACAACTTCCTGCAAATAAAAGGTATTCTTTAGTATCGCCGAATTCCTGATATAGTTCCTAAATTCAAGTAATACTTTCGAAATTACTCAAGAATTGTTTACTGTAAATACAAAAATCTAAATAGAAATGTTGAACTGCATTTGAATCAAACGTATCGGCAATCTCAAAGCGATCTGAAAGTTACAAGTTACATTTGACCAGAGAAAAATCTGAAAAAACATTAACATAGAGCAAATTTTATCTTATTAATATAAAACATATTAATTTGAATAGTCTTGACTTGTCCAAAAAGGAACTTTTTTCGTTGAGTTTACTAAGTGTTTGGCAGAAGAAGTGCCCAAGGATAAATACCATGGGTCCTCCTAGTGGTATCCAAGTCCGCTCCACGATGCATCCTTCCACTTAGCTGACCCATCAGCAACCTGGAGAAAAGGAACCATGTTTAAATTCGTATGATTGATATCCTAGAACCTGGTTTCCTATTCTAGCGAACTCGAGTTTTTCATTTATTTCGAAATTATGCTCAAAATTTGGAAAAGGTTTTGAATATGGTACATACAGAAACTGATTTCGATTAAATTTTCAGAGAAGCTTTCTCTTGAAATGGGAAAAGTAATTTTTGCGTGTAAATTATGTTAGAATACATCATCTTTCTAAACAATCTATTGGTTAGAAACATACCATCTCATAAACATTCTTAGAGGTTAGAAACATAGTACAACAAAAATAATGAGGCATTTATGGAATGCATGGAATGAAATCAACAGAAAAGTAAAAGAATTCCTTGTAGAGAGAGTCTATTACATTCAAAGAATCATTTCTTCACATACACGATTGGCAAAAACCTTTCAAAAAATTATTGAGTGAATGAATGTTATCAGGTGATTATCGTGCAATTGGAAAGAATTGTTACTGATGATGGAACTGCTGTAACTATAAACATCTATCAGAATAACTGAATGTCAAACATGATATAGGTCATTATAGGTTATAGTGACTTGTTTTTGTTTTACCACTGGCTTAAACCTAACATGCATGATAAATATCGGATCTGGAAGAACTTCCCAATAGGGTCTGTCTCTAGAAACTTATGAGAAACTTCGCAAGTAATTAAGTTCTATAGAAAACAAAGATGCACACCATACAAACTGCCAATCCGAAACAACTACTTACATACATGAACACTAAAATAATTTCCTCTGATTCAGTTTATACTCCCAAACTCATAATAGAATTGAAACAATAATTCACAGAAACACAGTGTTATATATAAAAGAGTACTGATATAAAATTTCACAACTAATTCAAAGAAAAAATGCCCTTTTCAATTTAAATGAAATCCCTATGGCTGGGAACGTTTTGAGATTGAATTTGTTAACCCTATGAATGTTTCCACCAACTGCCAAGAAGAAAATGAGTACTTTGTCTTTCAAAGTTATCCAAACAGAATTAGGAAAAAGTGGCTTTGCCACAACTCGGAAGTGCACCGAAAGTTTGATGGTGTTTCATGTAAGTAAAATTTTATATTCATAGATTTTCATATATACGTTTTGCGACATGCTCCTGTGAATAATACTGTTTCAATTCCATTAGGAATATTTGAACTGAAAACTGGATAGGAAAAAATTTTAAAAGTAACCTTTCAGCATAACTTACACTACTTGCGAGAATTAAATGTTGCCAATGAGAGATGAAGACCCAAACAAGTAATGCTCATTTTTCGCGAGTGGAATACTATGCTTTTTCTTACTTGCGATTGAAAAATAATTGAAACAAAACTGTAAAAATATGGATCTGTGATGCCTTCATATACACACTTCTGCAAAATTTCTGTTATACATAGTTATATATGTAAATTTATTATTCAAACACCATAAGTATACTTCGGTTGTGGTTTTTTACTGGTCCCTATAATGTTTTACTGAGAAAAGGCATTTTAAATAATTTACATGCAAATTTTTCTTTAAAAGCTTCTATGAAAATTTTTTCAAAATCGGATACTGAAACATATTCTACGCCTTTACCCAAAATTTAATTACAAATGAAATTATCCACTGAAATACAAAATTTGGTTACTGCTGGAAAGTAAAGGACTGAACTCTGGCTAATTCGAAAAATGGAACTGGAAATCAAATTGCCCGCCACAATGAGCGTCATCCGCCATTTTCTTCTAGTTAATCGCAACATCTTGATCTGCATAATGGCCAAATTATTGTAAAAATTAAAGAAAATTACAAAATACATATTAATTCATAAAGCTTATCAACTAAACAATGCAATAGATATATTAAGCAATTACAAACTATTGTTTATTTTGAGATGAGTCCAGATTCAAAAAGATGCTTGTGATCATTAACAGGAGACATTAAAGTACACGTAAACTTCTACAAGAAAACTTGAAAAACAATTCCCGAAATATCACTATAGTAACTGGTAACAAACAAACTACCAGAATAAAGTTTGTTTACAACATTTTTTTCTTACCTATCGTCGTCACGGCCGGGAATATCGGCACTACCGCCTTCATTACGAGGAGCGTCTCCAGCACCGTTTTGTGCATTTTCTGCAGAAACATCTTGTGAAAAATCTTCTCCGTTCATTGCAGATTCTTGTGTGGACATTTGTTTTTAAACTAATATAAATAAATTACAATATTATTCTCAATAGAATGTAACACTGGACACATCCACACCAAAACAGATGATACCGCAAACTGAACGATTCAGAAAGAAAGAGGACCTACGCCACTACGCACCGGAAACGGTTACAAGCGTCCTCCCCACTTTTCCCAAATTTACGCTGATATCAACCAATAACGTGGTTGCATTTCAACGCCGAACTGCTTTTTTGTGCGTAGCTACAAGTTGAGAACAAGCATGGAAGGCTTTTCCGCCATTACCCTCGAAATGGAGGGAAAGTTGTAACTTATCACAGACATACGTCCTTGTTATATCTCTTGATCCAAAAGAACATTACGCACCGGTGAACGTCGGTACTCGTTATACATGGAATCAATCGATGAACACGGTTAGGAGTACTGTGACTTTACCGACTGAGTGGATCAATGTCCTTATATCCAGTGGCGGGCGGAAGCAATTTTCAAGAGTTGTTTTCTTGACATGGGTGTTCTAGCGACAAAGAAGTCAATTCTGACTTCTGGCGGGGTCCCAACAGATTATTCATAACTATTATTCATTTTTACAATAATATTAGTTACACATTCTACATTTTCAATTGTTACAATCAATTTTTGACTGACGTTTATGTATACTGCAGCTTCTTTCCTAAAATCCATTTAGAAGGTGCGCTCCAAAAAAGATTATTTTGAGTGAATCTGGTTTTTTAGTCTATAAAAAATATAGGTGAAAGTAGCACTTGAAGCGTTTTAATCGCCAAATATGAACCTTTTGAATGGTCATATCTTCCAAGGATAACGCTTGCTACAAATTCTGAAATCAAATTCATGAACAGTGGTGTATCAGAAAAAAATGAAAATTTAGCAGTAGCTCGAATAATAAAATATTACCACACTTTTTGTTCAACACTCAATTTATTGAAATATCGCTGCCTAGTAATTTTGTCTCTCTTTTCAGAACCTGGTCCTTGAGACAAATGTTGAAATAAATAATGTTTTGTTTGATTGACAGTGACATTTTGCTTCTACTACCCTAATTATTTTCTAAATTTGAAAACATGCCCCATTGCAAGGTATTTTTCCTATTATTCAAATAGATCAATAATTAATTTCACTTGCTGTAATTGTAGGAAATAAAATTGGGAGACGTATGGCGAACCTGCAACAAAATCAGGGCAGCAATTTTCCGAATGGGAATCAACTTATTCGAATACTTTGCTCCATTGGATCCGCATAAAAATTGCTTGATTTCAGGTATGAAGAACATTGTTCACATAGTGAATTAGTTTGAATTCTGTTACTTCAAACCTCATTTTTCAAATGTAATAATTTTGAAGTACTCTATTATTGATTTTAGAATCGCAATTTATATCTGTTATTAACGGTCAACTCAGAGCAACTATAGGATTATCTGAACAAGAGGTCGCTGAACTTGCGGATTATTTCAGAGTGCCTGATGGAAGAATTTACTATACACAATTATGCGAGGTTATTCATGATAGTGGTGAGTAACTCGCTAAAACACAATATAATTTTTTTCTGACCACCATTGTTTGTGGTTTCTTCGATTCTTCATCGATTTTATGTATTTGCAGTACCAAAATTCAGCGAGAATGCCCCATTAGTGAGTGGTCTAGAATGGGAGGATCCTTTACACACGAACAGACTGAGTATTAGCGAAGAAAGGAGATTAAGTGTTCTGCTTACAAAAATTGCATCGCTCGTGAATATGAGGAAAATCATACTCCGTCCTTATTTTCAGGATTATGAATTGGTGAGATACCTTATTATACAATGTAAAAACTTTGTTTGTTCGCTACTTATTGCCGTTATCTATTGAAAACTCTCTCCTAACACCAGAACAAAAATTTACGTACATTTTTGTTCTAATGTTGGGAAAGTGTTTTCAACAGATTCATTTTACGCCAGAGGTTTCAGAACAAACTATCAAAGGACATTATTATAATCGACGAATGTATTCGATATGATACCCTCTCATTCACCATTTCTTGTAGAAACGACTACAAACCCGATAGTAATGAACAGGGCCGTACTTTTACTCTATTTGCAACTTCTCGTTTCATACTCATTAACAATCAATTAAGAAAAATAGTCAGTCTTCAATATTATGTTAGCTTAGTGTTAGCTAATTTACCCCTCAAAGGGGGTGGATTGCAATTTGAAACAAGTGAAAACTAATGAAGTGAGTCCTAGTTATCGCAGACCACAAGTTTGCGAACTTTGCGTTGTGACTTGGGCCTGCACCCGCACAAAATTCAACTAACCCAGTAACTGAAGGTAAACAATCATAGACAATGAAGTGTGTTCGCTGAATGGGCTCTGGAGCAGTTGGCAACTGATCCTAATTTTCATCGAAAAATAATCTTTAGCGATGAGGCCCATTTCTGGATGAATGGGTACGTGAGCAAACAAAATTGTCGAATTTGGAACGATACCAATCCACATGCGATTCAAGAGCGGCAATTGCATCCCGAATATGTCACTGTTTGGGGTGGATTCTGAGCTGGCGGCGTCATCGGTCCATATGTTTTTGAGAATGACGCTGGTTAGGCCATCACCTCAACGGCAAGCACTATAGGTCGATGATTACCAACTTCTTTTAGCCTGAATTGGAGGATCTGGACACCAATGATATGTGGTTTCAACAGGACGGCGCTACGTGCCACACATCTCATGCCACATTGGATATTCTGCACGAGCGATTTGAGGGTATGGTCATCTCACGTGGAGGTGATGTGAACTGGCCACCGATATCGTACGATTTGACCCCGTTAGACTTTTTCTTGTGGGGGTTTCTTGAGTCGCAGGTGTATGCGAATGAACCACAAACCACAACGATCCTTAAAGCCAACATAACCCATGCCATTTGTCAAATTCAGCTCGATTTATGCGCCAGAGTCATGAAAAATTAGACGTTTCTGATGCGGTCCACCCAGAGAAGCCGTGGCGGACATTTGAACACATTTCCACACATAATGATATCAATAGGTCTTTCAAATGATTAAAAAATTTCGATGATATCTCCCACACACTTTGTTTCATTTGAATTTAATGATAGGATCCATTTCCAAAGAGCTATTTGCCTATTTGAAATACACGTGTTACCTGCAAGCAGCTTCATCGGACCAGAACCTGTCATTGGCATCGCTTTAGGCTTTGCCAAACAAATATTGAACACCTGGATGGCAAGAATATTTATGGACTTCTGACAGAATCTTCCAGGATTGACTCACTCCAAGGCTTTTACTCACCCTTCGAAGCTTGATACCAAACAGTTGTTGGACTACAGTAGGGATGAACTACGATGTCTAACAGGCCTTCTTACAGGTCACTGCCATTTGAAGCTGAGTTTATTTGGTCGAGTCTTAATAGGTGTGAGCCACAATAAACCCTTGAGGGTTACGGTCGAGGGTTGAATAGACCCATTTACTTTGGAATTAACCTTCCTGCTGAATGAATATATGCGGATCCTTTGTTTCAATCCAATTAATTGCTGTGTTAGGAATCACACGTTGAAAGGTAAGACCTCGTTAATCCTTAGTTCGCACAAGTTTTGACTTCCGAGGGTTGTCGTTCGTATAGGGGTGCGACAGCTGGTTAACGGAAGAACATATTTTATAACAGATTTTAAACAGATCATCATATGATTTCAGAGTATTCTCCGCTATTTCAGATCGTGCCATCTGTCTTCTCCTTATATATTCACGATGTTCATTGTTTCTCCCATCTAGTGGTCTTGAGATTTTACCAGTGTAACTGTTTCCATTGTGAACCGTTTCGGAAAGTTCCTTTCCCTACTGAAGTTTGTGCAATTTTCATCATAAAGTCTCAGAAATTTACAGGTATGAAGGTTAAATTGAAAACACAAAATATCAACTTGGCAGAACGATTAAATTTGTCGAAACTGTAAAAAAAATTGTTTATATTGTGCTTATAGTTAAGCTGAATGCGATTGTATAAAGTGAAAAATAAATTTGACAAGATGATATTGCAAATCGTTGTAGCATTTCAATATTTTGTTGGTAAAATACGTAGTAGAAATTTTCAGATGAATAAATGAACTAATTAAATCCTCGTATTACACACCATTGATAGTAAAGCAATAGATGAGATGATATTGTTTGTTTGAAAGTGATTGACAATGTTTCATGATGAATTTCACTAGTTCGGACTTCCATTGTCTAATATATAAAATGATTTGAAATCCCTGAAACAACTAAAAAAGAAGAATTAAAAAATGAATAGCTGAAAATAACAATTATATTAAGCAAAAATAACCTGAAATGAAATAATAGTGAAATGAAATACAAGTAAAAAGTGCCATTCCATTGATTAGTAAGGCAAACGATTGCTTTTTCAGATCGTTTTTTAAATTAAAATAGATATATTTTGTTTTGGTCAAGTTTACAATAAGATTGTTCCTTTCAAACCAATTTAAGAACAGTGAAATTAATTCCTCTGTTTTTGATTTTAATTCCTCCTGACTCTCTGCTGATACAGCTAAAGACGTGTCATCTGCGAAAAGAGTGAGAGCATGTTCATTACTGGTGAAATAAGTAGGCAGATCATTTACAAACAACAGAAAGATCAGCAGACCTAACACAGAGCCTTGAGGAACTCCAGAACATATATCGTGATAGTCTGATTTCATATCTTTAATCTTGACGAACTTCCTACGATCTGTAAGAAAGTTAATGATCCATTCTAGGAAGTCCCCTCTAAATCCTAGATTATATAATTTTTTCTCGATGAATTTAAAATTTAAACAATCGAACGCACGTGACAGATCGAAGAATACTCCTGCAACATGCTTACCCCAATGTAAAGAAGCGTATATGATTTCTAAGGATCTCCAAGTAGCTGATTGAGTGGACTTGCCTTTGCAAAAACCATGTTGAGAATCGGACAGGATCTTAAACCTTGATAAAAATCTTAATATTCTCTCATTCACAACCTTTTCAAAAATTTTTGAGAAAATGCTTAGCAGGGCCACGGGGCGATAGTTTGTAATATCCGATGTATCGTTCTTCTTATGAACTGGTATGATCATGGCTGTTTTTAGAATTGAAGGGAATTTGCCACTTGTGACTGATAGATTCAACAAATAAGCTAAATGTTTTGAAATGTGTAACTTAATTTCTTTTAAAATTCTCACTGATATATTATCAATTCATGTACTTTTTTTTATTTTTTAGATTGTTAATTACTGCGTCAATTTCACATTCGTTAACGGGTATAAAGAAAAAAGTATTCGATTCAATTACAGAAATCGTGCATACGGATGATCTACTGTCGCCAAAATGGTCTGCTAAGCTATTTTCTACTACTGAAGAGAAATAGTCCCCAAATATGTTCGCAACATGATCTCTGTCTGTGATTACTTTATTATTATAGTTGAGAGTAATATCTCTTTGAATTTTTTTTCTGTTCGTTTCTTTGTTAAATGGTAGAAAACAAGATATGATAGAATGGTTGAGGTCTAAAAATATTCATTTTGACACAAATATGTTAAAACCTGATTTGTACAACCTACGTAAGCCACAGGAGAAGAAGATTATCTTCGTAAAGTAGTAAAATCGATGAGGTTCCGTTGGAGAAAAACGAAATCAAATAGAAAAATACTAAAGGAGAGACATGATATTCGTCAATTAAAAATAGCTTTTTTACGTGTCATGAAATTGTACAGACAATTGAACCAAACGATTGTATATATGGATTAAACATATACTTATGCTTCGCATACCGTTGCTACTTGTTGGTTCTCCAATGAAGGACTAGCTAGGTCCATTTTGAAAGGACAACGATTGATTATTATTCATGCTGGCAGCAAGAAACGCTTCATTCGCAATGCTCAACTGATTCTTGAATCAAATTCAAATACCAGAGACTACCATCACGAATTTTACCATTTATGAAACATGGTTGGTGGTAAAATTGATTTCTAACCTACCTCCAAATTCAGTCGTGGTTATTGTTCAGAAAGATAAAGCACCGACTTCTAACAGTAGAAAACAAGATATGATAGAATGGTTGAGGTCTAAAAATATTCATTTTGACACAAATATGTTAAAACCTGATTTGTACAACCTACGTAAGCCAAAATTTGAAACGTTAGAGATAGATGAAATTTCAACTCAACATGGACATAGTGTCTTACGACCTCCCTACCACCCAGATTTGAATCCCATCGAATTAGTATGGGCATAACTAAAGCAATACGTAGGACAAAAAAGTTTGTGTTTTCATGTTAGGGATGTCGAACATTAATGAGCAACATTTTTTGACGAATTTAGTGCTGAAGAGTGGAAGAATGGCTGTGATCACAAAATAAAGTGGGAAGCAGAACCTTTCTAGAAGATTCTAGTTCCGAAATCGAACTAACCCAAGAACCCAAATGGAATAATATTCGTTTATTGGTCACAAAATATAATTAGTACTGTTTTTCTTAGAATATTTAACTATTATTAAAATATCACTATAATCGAACAAATCGTTTTAGTAAATCACAAAAGAACACACTGAATTTCAACCTCTACAACTATCTTCCCGATAGTTTCAAAATTCTTAGTATGTCCAAATTAAAAGAAACAATAAAAAAATTTCTTTTGAGATTTGCTTCTATTCTGTCGAAGAATACGTGAATCATTTTAAATGTTTATAATAACGTCAACATACATACTCAATTTTGTTTTTTGTATTTGTGTTTCTCGTTTGTTTTCATAATATTTTGATTGTTAACAAATTACTTTCATGCTATTTTTTTGACTTGCTACAAACATTTTATTATGTAACGTGGTGAAATAAATTATCCGATATTATCTAATCTTATCTTATTTCATCCGAATTTGCCTCTACATAAACTGCTTTTAATATACCTACAAGAACCCAAACGGCATTTTAATATCCATTTATTGTTTACCCATTAATCCGTTCTACGTAAAATTGCAAACAAAAGTTACTTTTCCTTTTTCCTAATGCTTTTTTTTATCATACACCGAACCAAACTTTACGTAGATACAATTTCTCCCACCGGCCATGACTCAGTGCGGTAGCTGTAAGTGTTGATTATGTAAAATTACTTCAAAATTTACACAAGAGGAAATAGGTACTTCTAGACTATAAGTTGGCTATTTGTAGAAAACATTTCCACGAAGCTTTTTTGAAAGAATATTTATTAAAAGATTTTTTATCGCTTGGTAGTGTAACCTGTATATTTTCAAAAACGAAGTAACAACCTTCAAAGTCTTAGTACGGGCTCCAAAATCAGTGAATTTTCAATATTTTCCAACTCAATTTCATTATGAAAAAGTTCCTCTCCTCAAAAGATTTTGAATGGAATAGTTTTTTGTCAAATAGTATTATTCTTTCGAGATACTAGAGTGTACTCAAAGCTTGAAAACATTTTTCAAAAGAAAACATATACTTCATTTCATAAACAATTTTCAAAACAGTCTCAGACTTAGACAAGTATCATTAAAACAATTATTTAATTTCTTTCGGAATGTTTAAGACTCCAGACAAGTATCATTATGCGTCAAGACATTAATTTCTTTTGGAATATTCAAAACTCCTTTAATAACTTGTTGATTTTAGGATATAATGAGCCTTTTTCCTGGAAGAGTTATAAATGCAGAATTACCAAAATTACCAAGGCCAGAAATAGGTAAAAAGCTTATACTTTCCAAAAACCTTACATGAGAAATTTTAGTGAAGGAAAATAAATCGGCCAAACTGATAATCACAAAACAATAAAATTTTTATAAATTTTTCCTTTTCCTTTGTGACATATTTTTACGAACAATGTATGATTTACGAAATAAAATCATACTCGAATACACCAGTAACAAAACATATTGATTTGTAGGTAAAATCTCAGCTTCTCAGCTTTTTGGAAAGCAGACTATTNTATACAAAAAACATTTTTTTGATTCAGTTTGTATTCCAAATATTTGTTATGGAATCGAATCAGATATCATTCACAGGATTGCTATACAATATAGTATAAAGATGGAAAAGTAAAAAGCCAAGACCTCCCTTTCCCAAATGTTAATGAATTGTTTTTGTTGAGTTTTTCAACAGCTGTAGAATACCATACTCCTCGATAAAATGCTTTCCTTGGGAAAGTTAGTCCATGAAACATTTCTTTATCGTATTGTGTAACAAATAACTATGAATTCAAAGAGACTTGAACACAAAAATAAAAAATAAATTATATTTTAGGAACTCGAAAAAGTGCCGAGTTTGAAAGTTGACCCTCCTCCGCCAGAAGTCAGAGAATTACCGAGAACCGGCGGCAAAAACTGGCAATCGGTTAATCCTTCGACAAGGGATCTGTGTGAAGCGGCCGTCGACAAAGTCAAACAGAAGATCATCCATAGACGGATACTGCTGAAGCCCGTTTTTAGAGATTTCGATAAGTACGCCGATTTTTTTATATGATATTAACGTCGATCAACACAAATTTCCCAAACTGTTTCTCACAACTAACACGATAAAAAGTTTCAAAAAGTGATAATCTAAAAAAATTGAAGAATAAGGTTAAGTGGTAAAACAAGTCATCAGCGATATTCTCGCTGAATGAATTGAACTTCGCCTTTTATTTCCAATATTTCATTTCTAGGTAAAAATTATAAAAAATATGTACTTTTTTTTGGAAATAATAAAGACCATTATTATTATTAAATAGTGATCTTTGACATAATATTCAATAATACTATGATGGTTTATACAATAAATTATTTATACAAGAAATATTCATATACAGGGCGTTCCATAGAAAATTTGACCCCCCTGTAAGTCAGAAACGGACGTGTATTTGAAAATTTCAAAGAACACAAGAACACGTCAATTTAGTGGACTTTGCAGTTTTGTTGTGCCCTAACACTAATTTGGAAGTAGTCTTCCATTACGTTTCCCCACGTTTTATTTCTTTAAGGAGCAAAGAACCAACTTTGTAAGTCAGGGACGCCTATAGAGCTTTTGGCGCCCAAGTAGCACATAAATTTGGCGCGCTCCTCGAATTATTTTGAATGTTCCAAGAAATAAAAGTAAAATGCAAAATCATGACAGAAAAATATAAGAATATAATAAACAAAAGTCACTTTGTTCGAAGCCACATCTGTTTAAATCTGTTTAAAATCTGTTTTTCCGTTAATCAGCTGTCGCCCCCATGCGAACGACAACTCTCAGAAGTTGAGAAACTTGTGCGAGCTAGGGACTAACGAGGTCTTACCTTTTAACGTGTGATTCCTAACACATGATCGAGAAGGGTTATCAATAGAAATAACTTTTATCAATTGTGAAAACCGTTTAAAGTATGTAAAATGGTAATGAATTTTTAGATCACTTACTAGTTCCTTACTTTTTTCCTGAATATAATAACGTGAAATTGTAGCGATATTCATTTATTAATTTTATTCGTTAATTTTATAAGTATCAGATAAAAGATGAAAAAACCATGAATTTCGTTATGTTATCAAAACTGTACATTCTGCATTTATATTACAAAGAATGAATCACAAATGGGTAGGTATATACATATTGAATTTTTATTTGTTAAGAAAACAAATGTTTGTGACCTTATAAAAAGTGAATTAATGAATAAGTGAAATGTCAAGTATATGTAAACAATACAGATGCAATAACAATTCTGAAAAAATAATGAAGAAAATGTGGAAAAATGCAAAAATATTTTTTCATCTTTTTCGTATTTTTGTATGTTTTCTTTTTGTGTCTTCAACTCCTCGTAAGCACCTTTTGTTATAACTTTGACAGACGGTTCATTAAATCCTTGCACAAACTCAACAACTTCACCAGAAGAAACACATCTATATCTGTCACAATTTCGTAAAAAAACATTCACACACCTAGTTCATACTATTCCGACTAAAGTAATTTCGTTTTCAACTGAGTAATAGTCCCGTGAAACATCAGATGCTTATTTAAAAAAATCCTCTTTTATCTAAAAATATCTATGAGCTCAAAATAACCTATTAACATAATCAATGGGCTCATTCAGGCTAATTTAGTTTTTTATTGAACATTATATATTATAAAAGTAAATCATCTCCCAAGTATCCCACAAAAGTTTACGGTTTATATGTCATTTTTTAACAACTGAGCAAGAGCAATTGTAAATTTGAGATCGCCCGCGGTACATCTTGACGTCACACCAGGCAAACGAGCTTCGAGCGGTGGCAACCGGGCCTGTAGTTGGAGATTATTATGAATCGCTGCTATCATCAATTCAATTTAATTTTCTTCAAAGTAATGTATATGTCAATTCTGGCATTTTTGAGACAAAAGTTCTAGGTATAAAGAGTCCCTTGTGATTCCAAGATATAATTTCGGATTTTTCTCCATGACGTAAATAGATCTTCGCTCAATATTGTTTTTCGAATTCCAGTTTTTAACAAATATTCCAGGCAAAGTAGAATCTGATGATGTATCAACAGAAGGCATGTCTGATGTATTCGAACAGTCACTGTCCACGGGAGAGCTTAGTCGTAATTTTTTCCAATACTTTCAGTATTTTCTACTTCTTTAGAACGATTTCTTTTTCGGTGGCGTATAATATTTACGGTCTGTGTAGCTTTTGATCTTCGAAAAACATGTTTATTAACTTGAATTCCAACATCAAAGGTCTTTTCCTGTGTACCTGCTTCATCAGACATGCTTTGATTTTCAGCGATATCTTCGTTACAAGTATTTAACAAAATTAGTTTTTCCTTTTCTTGAACAAACGGTGGAGCTTTAGATGTATGGGCCGTCGGTCTATCAATCTGGCAATCAAATATATGCGGAATTACGCCTGGTTTCAATATAATTTTTCCCACTTTCATAGTTTTGATATACATGTAATTTTCTAAGTCTTTTTCAACCTAAAATTCAAAGTAGTGCTCAGAGTAAACTATATTTATTTAATAATCATTATCATTCATACTTACATTAAAATGATCTTCGCAACAAAAATGCGTCCCCTTGACAGATACAAAGTCGGCCCTCCGCATAGCGCGCTGCCATAACTTTCGTGATTTTAAGTTACTTGGCAGTGAAATAAAAATTTTGTCTGGTGCATTTACCGAAGAATTCTTGCATTTAGGAACGATGCAATACTTGTACCGTCCTTTTTTATCATTATTCATATTCACGCAGTTGACACAACACACAACTTGCTTTCTACAGCTTTAGCACACGTATTTCGCTTTATCCGCCAGCACTCCCTTGTTGCCGGGTCGACTGATGTGACGTGAAGCTTGACCACGCCCCGTTTCGGTGAACGCCACATTCAACTATTAATTTAAGGCAGTGGCGGCGCAAGACCTAAATTTAATGTGGGCAAGGTATATTTCGCGAGGTCTTCTGATGATGCAATAAAAAAAATCGACTCAAATGTGATAAAAAAAATAATGTCTGGGTCGTCGTATTAAAACCCCAGTCAAAGTCACTGTAATTAAGAAAACAAAAATTTTTGTTTAACCGGATTCCCATTTTCTTGCTTTATCTCTATCTCTTTTAGTGTCTAGTGACATGATTGATAAATTGAAAAGGGACCCTTGCGATCCTACGAGAGTATGCTGGAGAACTTTCGAAGATGATATCGATCAAGTTTTTACCGTAAAGGTGGGTGATTTGTCGAACGTACCTAATATGTATTCAAAATTGTTAAAGCTTTCGCAGCCGAGGTTTTCAGTGTTATAGGATATTCACGTTGAGAAGAGAATGACGTCACAAAATGACAAGTTACGGCGTTGCCAACATGTGCACTATTTCGAACTTTCAAATTCTTTTGTAATGTCGATTTCTTTTATTGCTATCAAACTTACTTACTATTAACTTACTTCGTTGAAGTACACATTTGTTGGGACTGTTTCGACAATGCTTTAGGCATATTGAATATACGAAGAAATTATTAGTTCTGAAAAGAAAACAAAGACTGACAGTTTAAACTCTGTTATTCAGCAATACCATGAGAACAACCAGTATCATAAAACAATGAGTCTGTTAGACGAGTGGTTTGTATTCATTGATGATTGTATTGGTATTGCTCAAAATTCAAAAAAAAATCAATATAAATTTTGTTCAAGACATGGTTTCGCTATACAGGGTCGCTTTATAAGTCCAACTGATGCTTAGGATCACAGGCAACAACTAACATGAATATATGCACTTTTCAGCAAACAAGTGTTACCAATCCTTACACTCGGCGGCATCGCGCTAACGAGGCTACTAGCCAGAAACACTGGTCCACGGTTTAGTCCCATTTTTGAGTGTTATGTCGTAAATTAGTCTTGACAGTTTTAGTAGTTTTGGTATAGTCGAAGTAAACGATATTGTGCGGCATTCTCAAAGGCAAAAAAAACCAATACATAGATGAAATGAACCAGCAGCGAACTATTCAACGTGGACTGTATAGACTTGGCGGTTCGTAGTGGATGATATTTACTAACCGAGTTTTATTATTGGCTGAAGAGTCATAAAATTGAATTTGAAGTCATGTTACGGTCATGCGGGGATGGTTATCGCCGTCGTGTTCATTTCAGGAACTGATTGCGATTTGAGTGTTGAAATTCGATAATGGTGCAGTTATAATTACTCAAAATTTTTGTTATCTGTTTGAAATGTGGCGTCCTTGGACAAGTACTTATAGTTATAACGAGCGTGATAACAACGCATCCTTTTCCAGTGTAGTGATTCCAATAGCGATGGTGAACAATGCGAAAAAGAGATACCAGTGAATAAGATTCGGATGCATTTGAATATTGAAACACAGAGAGTATGTTTCAATGTATATAAGAATCTACAACTCAAGTTTGGTTTCGAGAGAAACATACTATTACAAGCAACATCAAACATTTGACCGAAATTCCTTTCTCAGCTGTACGTAAAATAGGATTACCAAAACCTTTAGATGTTCATTTAATAAAATCATTGAAAAAAACAATATACGACTATTAGAAAACCAAATAAAATTCCTACAACTGAAATCATAAAAAAGAAATTGAATACTTCCAGCCATAACGTGAGCTGATGTAACTAAACTCTTCAGAATTGGATAAAGAAACTAGGACTTAGATTTAAAATAATAAAACAAACGTCAAGCAGTTATGGAAAGCAGTAGAATCGTGGAATTTCATAACAATTACTTAGAACAAATAACTAAATATAGACAAGAACAACGGCAAATTTTCTATTTGGACGAAACTTGGTATGACACTCACGACACAGTTACAAAAGGGTGAACTGATGGTTCGAGAATGTCTACGCCTAACATGCCTGCAAATAAAGGATCGCGACTAATCATTGTGCATTGCGGAGGAAGTAAAGGANTATCATTATAGTACACTTCGAATACAATACCTAACATATTCTTTTTCCACTTTTTAGTATTCTCCGAAATAACAATTCCATTCAAAAAAACGAAAAACAGCATTTTTGGTTTTCCCCGTATAATTTGAGAAAGGCGAGAGTCCCCGTAAATTTTCTTCGGCCATTGTATTGTTCCCGATGACAGTTACTTTTTTGTTTCATTTTAATCGTCTTCGTATCTGTTACGGTTTAGAATATAGCAATGTTACCACATGATAAACGAAATGACCTGTATACGAAAATGAAATAAGTAAAAAAGAATATATTGAACGGTTTTATTGAAAAAAAGGTGATAATGTTGTAGATAACGTACTGAAAGATACAAAATAATTCGAAAGGTCCTAGGTAGCAGTCTTTACACTACTCTCCTCAGCAATCCACGGAATTGATCAGATAAAAAATAATAGAGTCTTTGGGTGTGGTATTTATATATTTACTAAGGTTACCCTCCCCCAACGATATTATAATTTTTTTATCTGATCAATACCGTAGATTGCTGAGGAGAGTGGTGTGATGACTGCTAACTAGGACCTTCCGACTTATTCCGACCGTTTGAAATATTTTTTTTTACTTATTTCATTTTTGTTTGTTTTGACTTGGATGGGAGATCCATGCTTGTATACCGATTCTGAGACAAAATTCTTTGTATAGATTATATTGGATCTATATCTTTTTATAGTGTAATACTATAGTACTAGTCAAGCCATGTCATTTGATACCCATATTAAGGTAGTTGTGGAATAATATTTAATCCGCCATTTTGTAGCTGCAGCCATCTTGAATTTGCTTTTTTTTAAAAGTATGCTACAATTGTACTAGTCAAGCCCTGAGCCCATATTGAGATAGTTGTGAAAAAATATGTAATCGGTCATCTTGGATTTACAGTTATACAAAATTTATTGAATTGTATTGTCATCAAAACTAAATTTGTGTACAGATGTAAGATGGAAATGTCTTCAGTTGATATGAAAATAGAATAAATTTAAAGTTTGAGAAAAATAAAATAGAGAAGGGGTGAAATTGGAAGTTTTTTACAAAAATTCCTATTTTTTTAAAGTACCTACTCATTTTTGGCAAAAATCCTGAAATAAATTGATTCATAGTTCCGAATGTTGATTATTGAGAGAGAGGTTATATTACAAGTTTTCAAGAATAAATAAATATAAATTATCTAATATCTCATTTGAAATATTTTTAATCACTGATTAATGTTTCGTACAAAGTGAACAAAAGTTAGTATTTCGTTTCAGTTCATGAAATTTGTCGATAATAACAACAAACACCCAACAAGAAAAACCTGTGGAGGTGTAACATTTGATTCAGAAGGTAACATACAAAAACATAATAAATGACTGAAATAAATATAATGATAATCAGTAAAACCAAACAGAGGTGGTTATACAAGATGCAATGAAGGTAGTGGTCAGTAGTCGGGCGGTTCGACATTATTTGTTATGGAATCGAATCAGATATCATTCACAGGATTGCTATACAATATAGTATAAAGATGGAAAAGTAAAAAGCCAAGACCTCCCTTTCCCAAATGTTAATGAATTGTTTTTGTTGAGTTTTTCAACAGCTGTAGAATACCATACTCCTCGATAAAATGCTTTCCTTGGGAAAGTTAGTCCATGAAACATTTCTTTATCGTATTGTGTAACAAATAACTATGAATTCAAAGAGACTTGAACACAAAAATAAAAAATAAATTATATTTTAGGAACTCGAAAAAGTGCCGAGTTTGAAAGTTGACCCTCCTCCGCCAGAAGTCAGAGAATTACCGAGAACCGGCGGCAAAAACTGGCAATCGGTTAATCCTTCGACAAGGGATCTGTGTGAAGCGGCCGTCGACAAAGTCAAACAGAAGATCATACTCCATAGCACTATCATGGAGAAAATATGCCAAATTCACTATTAGAACGGTATGATTGATAATTGAAATAGAATATTTTGAAATAACAATATTTTGTACGATTTTAAAAATAAATCCACGAAAAATTGTCCACACATTCCTTTTCAAATAATAAAATATAGTCGATTTGGCAGGATTGTATGAAATCTGACAATACCAGTTTTGAATGAATGAATGAATGAAAATCGTATATTACAAGTTTTACAGTTATTTACAATTTTTGTGTGTGTATGTGTTTATGTAGCTTATGCCTCTTCAGGGTAATACCAGTTTTACGAACGACGTCTATTTATAGGTTTGTTCTGGTTCTAACATCCGAAACTGTTTGGAAACTGCGCAAGACATGATGCGTACAAAAAAAATCTCAAACAGTCCGAAAAGGTATGCTGTGCCGAAATACTCTCGGACACTTTTAAACCGAAACCGGATTTTGAGGAGACCACTATGCCACCTATCGTATATATCAAGAGATGAAGTCGAGAACATACTATTGATCATGTCCATTTTGTAATGTAGCGTATCCTTATAGTCAGTTCAAATGTTATCTACCCTCAATCATCAATTATTCAAATCAAATAAATAAAAAAACATCCTATAGTATAACAATTTTCAGTTGAAGGTGATTCATTAGCAACGTCGCACTTGAAGTGACCAACGGATAATCCTCCTACCAACTCTGCAGAGGCGTACCAAAATAATATTTTTATTCATTTAAACACATAGGTAATTACGTAAAAGTTGTTATTGTAGGTGGCGCTACCTGGTGGCAATGGTAAAACTGATTACATTTTCTTATTATGCCTAATACAGTACTTCAAGTTCCTTTTATATAGAAAGAGAACTACAAAGCAAAAAAATAATTACCTATGTTACAAAATTCATTGACTCGTCCGAAGAGGAATCCCCAGTCACATTTAAATCTATTATTATTTGGTCGAAAACAATGTCTACCATCCCGTCCAATCTCTACATTTTCTCTTCTTCCTTGATCACATATGGGCTACAGCATTAGCCCAATCTTCTTTCCGTATCCGTTCCATTGCGAGTTCTAATCATTCTAATCAGTTCTGGACATCAGAAAGTTTATATGTCACGTTTTCACGAGCTACGTAACTCTTGATTTGAGTCCAGATTAATTCTATAGGGTTTAACTCGCAATGGTAAGGAGGAAGTCTCAAAATGGTGATGCCTTCAGCACGAGCTATTGTATCCACCACATGCTGGCGATATCTGTCACGATGCTGTTTAATTACACTCATAAGCTCGGCCTTAACCATGTCTTCGGAAAATGGAATTCCTTTTTGGCCTAAACAACTCTGCATGTCTGCTTTTCTGATGGTCATAGTTGGCAGTTGTTCTACTAATCGGCTGTGATAAGAAGCGTTATCCATTAATATTACCAAATTTGGCTCGACTCGTGAAAGAAGGGATTCGAATCATCCTTCAAAGCGTTGGGCGTCCATGTCTTCGTGATAATCCCCCGTTTTTTTGGATAAAAAAATTAGTGCACTAACGTCAAAAAAGCCACTCTCGCTACCTATACGGGCGACAATTGGTTGTTGCCCTTTACCTGTTGGTTCGCGTAACCCTGTTGATAAACCGTCCACAAATGCTTGACGATAACTAGTTACAGTAGTATCTTGCCAGATCTTAGATATTGTGTGATCAGCATTCACCCACGTTTCGTCCAGATAATAAATCTTTTTGTGAGCAGAACGCATTTCTCTAATAGAGCGAAGATATCTCCGTCGCCATGAGACTATATCTTCTTTTTCTATTAAGACAGACTTACGGGATCGTTTGGCATATATAAATTTTAAATATTCTTTTATTATTTTCCTTAACTTCTATTCTCTGTGCTCATTTTTGGAATGAGATCATTATCCATTACTTTCGTCCTAATGGATTCGAGTGTTGGCGCTTTATTCTCAAAAAAGAAAGAATGAATGGTATAGCGTACAAAATTTTTCTGGTACTCGTCCAATTCAATTTTTTTTCTACCACGACAATGTACTTTTGGAGCTTGCACAATCCCAGTCACCTTTTTTTCACGTACAATGCGTTCTTGTCGACACGGATATTCCCGTTAAAAATGAACACTAGGCTACAGCTTCCACTGTACGGAGTGTATTTTTAAAATTTTCGTACACTCTACAGACAATCTGTTTTCTTCTAACGACATAAACTTCCGCTTTCTTTGTACATTACTTGGACCTGCTACGGCATCCATCTTAATACTATAAAAATAATCAAATTCAATCATATTATTCAGCTATTTGTCAGTTGTTTACTTACCTCAAAAACTATTTTAAAGTTGATGTATTTTGAAAAACACTTTATTGTGAGATTTTAAAAATATAGTCCATTTGGCAGGATTGTATTAAATCTGACAATACCAGATTTACGAACGACGTCTATTTATAGGTTTGTTCTGGTTCTAACATCCGAAACTGTTTGGAAACTGCGCAAGACATGATGCGTACAAACAAAAAATCTCACGGTCCGAAATAGTATCGGACACTTGTTTAAACCAGACAGAACGCTTTTGAGGAGACCACTGTGCCACCTATCGTATATATCAAGAGATGAAGACGAGAACATACTATTGATCATGTCCATTTTGTAATGTAGCGTATTCTTATAGTCAGTTCAAATGTTATCTACCCTCAATCATCAATTATTCAAATCAAATAAATAAAAAAACATCCTAGCAAATAGCCCAAACAAATTTCCACATGAATGCGCATGAGCAACAGGAACAGTTCTCAACAGTTCAGCCTCGAGAGCAAGAACGATTCGGGACGGTTCAAAACAGTTTAGGATCATTTCGCTGTCGCAACCAGAACAGAGGATTTATCAGTCCGAAATTATCCTCAATAAACCAGAACGCTTTATATCAACTGCGCATGATCCTGACGTCCTAGAACCTGAATTTTGTAGAACCATAACAAACCTTATGGCGAATATCGATGCAGCCGACTTGTGCCAGTAACTTTTGAGAAAGCGTTTTGAGAAACCAGCACTCTACATTGTTTGAATATCTTGAAATGACGGTGTTATTATATAATGGGCAATACGGATTACGCAAAAATAGTGACACAGAGTCCGCAGTATTAGATGCCATAACCCACTTCCGGCTAGATTTAGATTCGAACAAAAATGTGGAGTTCTTTCAGTGGACCTGAAAAATCATTTTATACTGTGTAATATAAAATTATTCTAAAATTAATGCATAACATATTATTATGGAGTTTAGTTTATAATCTGTTTCAAAATTATTTATTCAATAGGAGGCAATATGTCTATATAGGCGACATAATTACTCCCAAAACAAAAAATGTGTGGAGTACTGTAAGGACCTGTTTTTTTCAATTCTTGGGCTACAGTAAATTCATTTGGTAAATTACAAATGTTTGCTGATGACACCACTTTAATTTACATTGGAAATAGTGTACAAGAAATTGAAATATTAATTTCAGTGCCATAAAATGTCACATAAATTTCAGGAATTTTCATATATGTTTATATCAAAAAGGTCTATATCAATCGATTCAAAAGATCCAATTAAATTCTATAGTTAAAATTTTAAAAAATGTTCCCATAATTGGGTTTTTATTCAAAATATAGCATTGTTATAGAAAACAGGGCCGGCGTAGTAATTGACTTACAATAAGTTCTTACCGCCTTCCTCTTCAAATAAAAAAAAATTATCATTAGTATATGTTACATATTTATGAAAATAACTGCTAACTTTTACAATATACTTCATTTCCAATACGCGGTTCACATAGTAATTTCCTCGGTTTAACTGGTACTCTACAATAATTTACACTGCAATTGAATTATCCAAATTCAAATTTCATTTTTCTTCAGACATAACAATGGTCACGTCAGCAGATCGCAGATGAGGCAAGCTCTCCATTCAAACTGCATCCTGCTTTCTGATGAGGAGTTGTTCGCTTTAGAAGAGAGATTCAACGATGATGTAGGTTTTAACTACTTCTGGTTCCTCAAAGATGTTGAATTTTCTTGCGATGAACCTTTGGTAAGTGAATTTTCAACTGGAACGTTCTCAACAACATTGTTACTTTGATAAATGAAATAATTTATAAAATGGTGGCAGAAGTGGGATTTTGTATTAGAGGAATTTGCGTAGTTATGAGTTACATAACTTACAGTATACCCAATTTGTTGCCGACACATTGAAATTGAACAAAGAACCTCCAAAGAAGAAAGTGCAAAGACAAGAACAAGACATCGTCAAGATCATGGCGAAGATTAAAGGAAAAGTGGTAAGAGAAAGGATTCGCGTAATGGAATTTCTGAGAGATTTCGACAGGTGCAACGAACAAGTCATAAGCAGAGATGATTTCAAAAGAGGTCTCTCCGTCTGCAGATTCGACCTCAGCGAAAACGAAGTAGAAACTCTGATGGAAGTGTAAATCTGTTCTAAGATTCGAACTGAATTTATCCTTCTTACATTTGGCTTTTATTTTTATAGATTCGCCTCTCCTTTGAGGAGAGAATGCGTGGACTACAAGAGATTTTCTGATGTTGTCGAGGAAGCGTTCACGCAACAGTGTTTAGAAAGGGCTCCTCTGCTAGTGCCAATACAACATGTCCCTACGAGGGATTGCGAGAAGAATTTCCTCAACTTCGATGAAAGGATCATGTTGTCGGTGGCATTGCAGAAGTTGTCCAAGAAACCGGATCTGCAGATGAACCTTTCTTCAGTGCTGCAGGTAAGTGAGCTGTTTCAAAAACATGACTGTTGAGAGAAAAATCATTGACTTATTTATTGTTAACATGTGGATAAGAATAAGAAAATCAACGTTAACAATGACAAGGCAGCTCAGATTGAGTTTTTGGGAGTTAGTGGATCAAAGTTTAAAGAGAAATGAAACTTTCTATGTTTTTTTTCATTCTTCATTATGATTTCCTCCCACGTAGTAACCGGCTACATCCATCAATTTGAAATGTATGGGCTCTGACAACCAGCTGTTGGTACCAGAATGGGACCAGATCAGGAAATCATAAAGAGTACTGACAAAATACCTCTGGAAACACATATCAGTAAACCTATATAATCGGATCGCCTGAGGAAATTTATGGAGGGAGGCTCAGAATAATTACAAAGTTACTTACCATAGTTGTACCATTAAACTTTGAGTTTAATAGAACAAATTAGAATATCTTAGTTACAGGTAATACAAAATGGGATGCAGCTTGTCATGTCTTTTGTTAATTTTGCGGCATTGGATAAAAATAGCAATTTGGGGAGAACCCAAATTATACCGAAGGATAATTTCTAATTGAAATTCGAAACATTCACCTCTCCCAATAATCCTACACAGTGAGATCTGTCTTATTCCTACCGAAAACAACTACTTCCCTGGCAAATATCACGGTGTACATTGGGTTATGTCTGAATGTACTTTGTGTATTAGGTTTTCTCGCAGTAGAAATTCCTGCGGATGATTTTCTTTCGTCTAGCAGCAGGACTTCGGTTCTCCGCATATACGAAAGTTTTGAGACAAGATACATATGTTTTGAAAGTACAAAAAAAGCGGAACTAGCACTGATGCTGGTCTAACGAACTAACTGAAATACATAAGTGCTGAAACCAGACATCATGTATTGGCTCTACAACATGGTGGTTGAAACAGAATAAGCACTTTTTCCAATCCCCACGTTTCGCTAACCAAGTTGGCGTCTTTATCTTCTGAAGTGTTTTTCTGAATATTCGATACCGGATATATTTGCCGCACCATCGCAACCCTGTCCCCGACGTTTTAATATCTTGAGACGTTTTTCGTCTAGGCTCTTTAAAATTACCTACTTCTGCTAAACTTTCTCCGGTTTGGTAGGTTACTTGATCAAAACCTAAAAAGCTTTCGATAATTTTTGTTGACATTCCTGCATCATCGTAAGATAGAGTTACATATCTTACTGGAATATGCTTGGTAATGTCTTGTTTAGCATTAATTATTATTGATAAAAGCTGGGCAGACTGAAAGCGTTCTAAAATAATACTCTATTTGATAAAATTTATATTGATACTTTGTATACTCTATTTGATAAAATTGCTATTAGCACGTTTTGAATTGAAAAACACTTATGACGGTATTTTTCACCAGACACCAACTGTTGTAAAACTGGTTCGTAGGTACTTGCATAAAAAATCAATAATTGCTAACAAATCTCAGATGTTTGCTTGACATATTCTTTCGGTGTGACCTCTAAAGGCAAACTTTGACTTTATCAATGTTGAAGTTACATTCATAATGCGATTCAGAACCTTAGCCCATTTGTTTGATTCTTTTTTAAGCTCTGATGCCATCGTAAAATCAACAGTTGTTCTTTTTTTTTCATGTAATAAACACTACGCAAGTTTTTTGATAGGCCTTGCCAGTCTTGAACGCCCTCAATCCATATACTTTTTCACCCTGCAAAAAGCCTCACAGTAGACTGCATCTTTTTTTAAAGAAAAGCATAGCCACTCTCGCTTTATTTGCAAACCAGTTTTGTATTTTTTTTGAGGAGTAATTCACAGAAAACGATCTGTTGTTTTGACAGGGTTCTTTAGGAAAAGTACCCTTTGGATGATATGGACAATTTCTCATATTTTTTTTATCATCTAGCTAATTAGGAAAATTGGTGAAATCTGTAGGACACTTTTCTGAAATATCCAACATAAAACTATTATCTTTGCAGTTTTATCTCTATCGCTTCAGGCCAGGTTTTCAACTTTACTTTGACTAACAGAACGTGAAGAATCAGCTAATTTAGTGGACGTGCATTATTCAAAAATGATGTGTGACACGGAGTCAGTACTATTATCGCTTATGTTGAGCAGAAACATTTTACTAAGTCACTACCACTATCACTATGTTGAGCATGGGCAGACACACTATCACATCTTTGACCGATTATTAGAACCATTTTTTAATGATTCAATTGCTGTTGGGGTCTATGAGAAACATAAAGAAAGTAGGTAATGGGAGGAATGGACCCAAATTATATCCAGAAGACTATGACAGGTGCAAGGGACCTAGTACAGTGCACCAAATTATCGGAATAGATGTAAAGACGAAAGCCAGGGGCCACATGGCAATAAGCCTATGAGGATGCAGGTCAAAAAGCTTATGAGGATGCAGGGCAATAAGTCAGACGACTCCTTAGTAGTAGAAAAACAATTCTGAATGATAATACCGACTGCCTTTCGCAAATCAAGCGACAAGAATCCACATATTGGGATCAATTTCCATCTGGAAATTGGTACCAGTATCTAATGTTGCTGTTGCTAAGTGTCTCCATAATTGAGAAAGCCATGCAGCTATATTGAGCTGGAGTTCAGCTGAATTAATTTAGCTTCACTATTAAAACATCAGCTACTCCACCCAAAAAACATTATAGAAACAGTGACGAAGAGTTTACATAAAACAATAAATACTAAATGACTTAAAACTGAATAAAAAGTAGTGAGAAGTACCATTTACAGGAATAAAGTTTTTTTTAAGAATCCTGGACAAAAACAAGTGAGCAAAATATATTTTGATTTCAAAACATTTTAAACATCTATCTCTGTTATTCCTTGCTACAAATCTATCAATTTAAAAATTGACTTTAGTTTATATTTTTTTTGCCATGTTCAATTTATCAACTTATTCGATAACAATACATATATTTTTGTTACTTTATTTGAACTTAACAAAAAATAGATAATAATTTCCCAAAGAAACTTTCCCTCAGTTCTAGAGGAAATTTGATGACAACATTCAATTTGCCTCTAAATCTTTTCGTTAGAGAGAATATTTTTAAATGAATAACTAAAATATGGGGAAACTTGTGGATTGATAGGGCATTTTCTCCTTTCCTTGCATTTCAAACACGTCGGTTTTTCATTTCCATCCAAAGTTTTTTCTCTTGTGAACAAATACAAGCATTGCCACACACTCAATTGGTCGGTTCTTTGTGGTATGGAGAGAGACAAATCCCAGAAAAGATCAAAGGTTACTGATGAGTGTCCACAGTGTGTGCATTTTATCGTGAATTTCAATTGACCAACGAAATTATCTACAATCTTAGAGTTATGCATCCTCAAATATATTAAGTTAAACAATGTGATTTCAGAATTTATATTTTAAAATGGCAAAACAGTTAAGTATCAGAAAAACGTTAATGAAAGCAGGTGTATTCAATGGATACCAAGGAAGATAATCAAAACTCACTAGAATTGTTAATATTTTGAACTGAAAGAACTGTCATCATGAAAAATGAACGGCGTTTCCTTCTCGTTGCCCCAAACTATGAAACAAAAACAATTCACACACCCTAAAATAGCAGGAATTGTTGAAAGTATCCGTTTTATATACGACCGTAGGTGTGATGTCGCTCGTGGACGGTAATTTAGGAACTCCTCTTTCCTTTCTATTCTCTCTTATTAAAAGTTACGACCTAAAGGAAAACATAATAAGGCAATCTATCGCATCATATAAAAAAATATGTGTGCCCAGTCGAAATTGACACATAAAAATCTGTTCATATTAATGTTTTGTTAATCGATATCGTTCACGGTCTTGTCTTACGATTCAGTTGCTTTTGGGGGTTGCGAATGTACTTATAAGGCATACTAATTTTATCTTTCTTCAAACATGATTTGTCTACTAACTAACCTCTGTATCTTGCATAAATGTATGTCGGATATAAATCAATATCCAGCGTGGTGTTAGTTGGGAAAGTAGTTGTTTTCAGGCAGGCATATACCAGAACCTACGGTGTAGGTAGTTGGGAGAGATGAATATGTTAAGATTTCATTTCAAAATATTTATTTTCTTATTCAAATATGATTTCAAGATATAGTAAGGGGGAACAGAGAAACAATCAGGTTCTATTTATCCAAAACAAGCACTTTTCATAATCATCTCGACGCTCGTGCATTTCTGGTTCATGACAAGGATCAGAAGCCAAGAACAACGACCTCAGAGATCTGTTTGATGCCCCCTATTACTCATTATTCACATAATTGTTTTACTGACCGTTTGGAAAACTCGTAAGGAACAAATCTACGCGGATGATACTCAATTGCATATTGATCTGGATATGAAATACATAAAAATTGTAATGAGGAACTTCATACTGGTGTAGAAAGGCCAAAGAAAAATGTTTTTTATCAGTAACTTGCCCTATTTGATAATTTTCCCACGAATACAATACACTTTTATTGTATTTGGAAGGCCGTGGGTTCGATTCCCGCCTCGACCTGATATTTTTCTCGAGAGAATTAATCTGGTTGAAGTTGGGATGATTCTGCAACCTTGTTAGGAATCACACGTTAAAAGGTAAGAACTGGTTAGTCCTTAGCTCGCACAAGTTTCTCAACTTCTGAGAGTTGTTGTTCGTATGGGGGCGATAGCTGATTAACGGAAAAACAGATTTTAAACAGATTTTTTAAACATGTTCTGTTAGTTCTGTTAGTTACAAATACAAGTGGTATAAAAACAAAGGAAGTTTTTATTGCTCATTTTTCAGAATGAATTTTTGTAAAATTTTATTAAGTAAAGATTTTAGAGGTTTTATTGAGCCCAAGTGATTCTTGCCTGAATTGAGGCAGAAACTACACTTATTTCTTTTAATATATTGTGTAAGAATCCTGTGAATGATATCTGATTGAATACCATAAGAAGTATTTGTTTCGAAAGTATTTTCCTTTCGTGTAAATCAATGTTTATATGAAAGTAGCTGTTTCGAAAAGTTTTTTTCCAGTTTATATTTGAAAGTTACTTCTTTGCATGATATACATATCTCTAAATAGAATTACTTTTTTTAAATTGATTGCTTCCATCATTTCTTGTAAGATTCTCACATGTTTTTGTATCAAGATGGAGAAGTAGAAAATCAAACCTCTTCTTTCCCATAAAAACGATATTATCTGTAGATCTGTAGAAGTAGATAATTCATAATTTTCACCTCGTTACAGGACTTTATATCAAGATGGAGAAGTAGAAAATTAAACCCCTTCTTTCCCATAAAAACGATATTATCTGTTCTCCAATCTAAACCAGAAGTCGATAATTCATAACTTTCACCTCGTTGCAGGACTTCGATAAGACCAATTGTGGTACCGTTTCTAGAACGCATTTCTTGAAAGCCCTGACTCTGAGAGGAATGTCCAACTTGATTTCAAGAAATGAATTCGACGTCATCTGCAAATGCTTCAGCTTCGAGAGAGGGATGAGAGACGAGGTGGACTACAGGGCGTTCATGAAAGCCCTAGAAATATTGTACGCCACTGAGAAATATAATCCATTCTGAAAAATTCAAATGTACTTTAAATAAAAATTGCCTTGCTGTCTAATCTTCACTTTACTTCCTCTTCTTTTCATGGCACCCAAATATATATTTTATTTTGTCTCTTATTGTCTCTTATGAGTCAACTCAGACGAGTAAATGCGCACATATGCGACAGTGATGTCAATAGTCATATATTATATTCTAACAACTCTTGTGTAGGGTGTGGTTTTTTTTGTTTAACCATCTTTCAAATTTTCGCCGCCGACGCCGCGCCGCCCTCAATTTTGCCGCCCCTCATTATTGCCACCCCTCATTATTGCCGCCCCGGGCAATTTCCCGGTTTGCCCCCCCTTCCCTAGATCGGGCGCTGACCCGGTGCACACGGGCGTACAATCAAAGCTCTGTGAGTTGTGCGAACGTTGTTGAAACACATTGTCTCTCATGACTTAGATGAGTGAATACGCGCATTGTGTTGAACCATTAATTAAAATCCGTTCCAACAATGTCCGCACAATACCCGATACACATGGGCGTTAATGCTCTGTAAGTTGTGTGAACGTTGTTGAAATACATTGTCTCTTATGAGTCAAATTAGACGAGTGAATGCCCGCACAAGCGACACCCGTCGTTGTTGAAATACATTGTCTCTTACGAGTCAATCAAGACGAGTGAATGCACATGTGTGCGACCCTTATTTGTCCGCATAATACCCGGTACACACGGGCGTTAAAGCTCTGTAAGTTATGCGAAAGTTGTCGAAATACATTGTCTCTTATGAGTTAATTAAGACGAGTGTATGTGCGCCTATGCGACACTATTTACGATGGCTCATAACGGAGACAATGCATTTCAACAATGTCCGCATAATACCCGGTGCACACGGGCGTTAATGCTCTGTAAATTATGCGAACGTTGTTGAAATACATTGTCCCTTATGAGTCAATTTATACGAATGAATGCGCGCCTATGCGACACTATTTACGTTGGATCGAAACTGAGACAAGGCATTTCAACAATGTCCGCATAATATCCGGTGCACACGGGCGTTAATGCTCTGTAAGTTATGCGAACGTTGTTGAAATACATTGTCTCTTATGAGTCAATCAAGACGAGTGAATGCGCATGTATGCGACCCTCATTTGTCCCCATAATAACCGGTACACACGGGCGTTAAAGCTCTGTAAGTTATGCGAACGTTGTCGAAATACATTGTCTCTTATGAGTCAATTTAGACGAGTGAATGTGCGCTTGTGCGACCCTATTTACTTTGGCTCATAACTGAGACAATGCATTTATTCAACAATGTCGTCATAATATCCGGTACACACGGGCGTTAAACCTCTATAAGTTGTTCGAACTTTCTTGAAATATATTGTCTCTTATGAGTCAACGCGGACCGTGTCTTAAGACCCGTAGCAGACGGCTTGAATGAAAATTCAACAATGAATAATATAATCAATTATACCAGTTTTTTAAGCAATTATTCAATATTACTTCTACTCGTTTGAATATATTATTCCTATTTTTCATGTTGTATTCAAAATTAAAACCCTTAGAGATAAATAACAATTCAAATGTTGCACGAAAAATAAATTTCCGCAACTAGAGAAAATAACTTCAAATTATAATTTATTCAAGAGAATAACTTGTGAACGTTGAAATCATGAAAATAAGATAATCCTGATTCAATTTGGAATACAAACAAAAATGTTTTACCTATAAATGATTGAATTGGCCGATACTTCACAATAACGCAACACGTGTTTTGGCATACAATGGCTTCTTCGGGCATGTCTTTACTAACTAATTCTACATATTCAATGATTAATATATCTTATTTTACAATTTGAAGTACCTACATTTCAAGTAACTGATTTTTACCTAAGTTTGTAATGAATTAAATTACCTGAGCTTATGTCCCAGTTTCAACATTTGAAAAAATATTTAGTAACGGGTATTTATTCAATTCTAATTGATCATTCGGTAAAATACCCGAATTCCTAAATCTATTGATTTCTTCTAAATGTAACACATTGTATTCATGATTCAACTCATCTACTTCTGCTAAAAGGTGGTTTGCAAATGTGGAATTGGTCTTTATATTTACAAAACTACTTCTATACTCTTTAATTTTTTGGGAAAATGTTCTCCCTCTTTGGCCAATATACAGTTTTGGACAAGAGCCACAAGTCAGCTTATATATTCCTGATCTATCCGACACCGAAGTTTTGTCTTTATTGTTTTTGATAAATTTACTTAGACTATTATTCGTTCTGTAAGCTACGTTTACGCATTCTTTCTTCAAAAAACGGGCAATATTACCTATTGGTTGGTTCACCAAAATATGACAGTGTCCTATAACTGAAGTTATCGCATCTTGAATTTGGGTAGACCAGGTCCATGGCTCACTTTTGTAGTTTTTTGTGGAGTCTTTAATATCTACCTCCGCGATTGGTTTGATCAAACTCAGCTCTCTGGAAATTACTCTCAGGCAGTGGAATATTCAATAGTATATGAAGCATACTATTGAATGCAGCAACTTTATGCTGGTAATGGAGTGTGGAGGAATCATATATGATAATTTTTATCTAAGTCAATTTCTGCTCTTTATTTCACGCTACCGGCCCGCTCCGGCTCAGCAGAGCTGTAATGTTGATACTAAATGTATACATACATATATAATCGCGCGCGATCGATGCTATAATCCTAAAGTGCTATGGGACGAAGCGCTATTTATAGGCACGTGCCGGTACCGGTCGGTATCGCCGCCCCCCGGTCGGTACCACTACAACCGCTATGTCCCTGCATTTTTTATCTGTAATATCTTCGAAAATATTCATTTAAATTATATGCTGCGAGGGACCATATCGATCTATTTAAAATGCACAATGTTTGAGGTACTTAATTGGCTTTGCAATGGATCATCTTGGAGAGCCTAGTTCATGTTTAATATTCGTGGACTGAGTCTTCTGTCGACACCTTAGATGATGATTTCGTAAGGAAAGATGTCATCGCCGTTTACTAAGTACTCCAGATTGCTATTTGAGGACAATTGAGTCCAAACAATGCATTCGTGGTTCAGCCTAGCACCATTCATGGGACCTTGTCGTATCAAAATAGCGCTGACTGATGTTGGATCACGTATGTTTTTTTATTGATCTAGTTTCGTCAACTCCCAGTAATTATGATTACTCAACCCCTCGTAGAAAATAAGGTTTATTCTAACGTAGACCGGTCGAGTTCAGCAATACATTTGTGATTAGACCTAGCAACACTAATGAAACCTATGGCGGGTGGAAACAACGCTGTCTGTTATTGAATCACTCTGGTTTCAACTAGTTGCCCTGCAGTGAAAGCTGCAGAGAAAGACAGAAGAGAAACTTGGCTTTGGAGATTCTCGTTTATCTTTAATAGATACTCGTGCTTTGTCTTCCGTCGACCCCACAGCTGACGTCGTAAGGAAAGATATCATCGCCTTTTCAAAATATTCATTTTATCTATGGCTTCATGGCTTCACTAATTGACGGGACTTCTTCAATAACTTTGATGCTCATCAAAGCACCTGATCGCAGCTTGGCTGAAATCAGGGGTTGAGAGGATTATCACAGCCTACCAGGTGGGTCTTTTCGATACTCTCACCACCATAGCAGCGTAATTGGTATGAAGTTTAGCGACCAGATAGATAGATGTTAGGAGAACCTTCTCATCAACAAATGTTTTACAATGAAACGAACTTAGCTAGGAAGGGATCCACACCTCTCATAACAGGTTTCTAAAGGAAAGTGTCAGTGCAAACTAATTAAATAAGTGGTGGAATTTGTGATTCAAACAACTGCAAATGTTATCAGAGATCACCTTTCTGAAAGAATATGTTAAAGTAAAATTCACCATGTGAGGTCCAGTTGTTATACTTGTTTGAATCATTTATCGAATTATCTTTACTCAGTTTTCGAATACTGAATATTTCTAATGGCTAATATTCTGATAACCAAAATCTCAATTTTTTGTCAGATTATGATTTCTTAGTTATAAGAAGAAGTAGTATGTGGTTTCCTGTTTCAACAATCGCTGCGGTTTGCGTTCTTATCGATGTTTCCGATGGAATGCGATCTGAAAACGACCTGGAACTTGTTTTTAAAGAAAGGTAAGAATAAGTAAACATGTTATGATTCCCATACTTACAAGATGAAAGCGTCATCTACGAGGATTGTCCCAGAGGTACCCGGCCCAACAAGAAAAACACAAATATTTTGGAAACAAATTATTTACTTTTCAACATAACACTTCTTCATCGTTGGAAAATCTTGGACCACTGAGCCATTTTCTCAACTTTGAGAACAAAAAATAATCTGAGGGGGTTAAATCTGGTGCATAGGGTGCATGAGGTAGCAATTCAAACTTTAAATTCGTTAATTTTGGTCATGGCGATAATGGATTATTGAGCTGGTGCATTGTCTTGATGAAACAACATTTTTTCTTAGCAAACTGCGGCCGTCTTTGCTTGATTTCCTCTCTCAAACATTCCAATAAGTTCGCATAATACTGGCATTGATAGTTTTACCTTTTTTAATATAGTCAATAAAAATTATCCTACGTGCATCCCAAAAAAACCGATATCATGACCTTGCCTGCAGATGGGACGGTCTTTGGAGCCGATTCTTCTTTTTGCGTTCACTGTTTTGATTGTTCTTTTGTCTTGGGTGTAAAGTTGATGGACTCATGTTTCATTTACGTTTATGAAACGAAGCAAGAATTCTGCTTTGTTGTTGTGAAACTTCGCTAAACATTCAGTTGAAACATCTTCACGGCACTGTTTTGGCTCGAGTGTGAGCAAACGCGGCACCCATCTCACACACAGCTTTCTCTAATCCAAATTTTCAGATAATATACGATATACCTACCTACCGCATTTTTTGAAATGACTACTAAGTGTGCTAGCCCTCGCACTTTCATTCGACGGTCATTCAGTACCGCTTAGTGCATTTTCTTCACCGTTTCTGGACTCGTCATCTCATTTGGTCGACCACTGCGATGCTCCTTTTGACAGCTCGTACGGCCTCGTTTAAACTCTGCTCCGCCATATTTTACTGTTGTAAACGAAGGAGCAGACTCGCCCAGAGTAAAATCCAGCTCAGCTTTAAAAATGATTGGGATGAGGCGTTTCAATTGAAAGTATTTCTTTTTCCATTTTTACAAATTCATCGAAAACGTTTGGTATTGATGGTTGACAAACAAATACTGAACAACACAGCGTCTTTATACTTGAAACATATACTTTAAAGATTGTGTACTTTCTAATATGGTGGTATTTTTCAAACAACTAACGCCATCTCTAGGTCGAGCTGGGTACTTCTAGAATCCCCCTCGTATGACAGAAAAATTAGTTTTTTAATGAAAGTTATATCTTATGGATATCCGATTTATGTCCAATTCAGGTCGGAATATTCTTCGATATGAAATGATGTCACACATCACACACATATCTATGTCCTCTGTGTTTCATTTCCATATTCCACCTATTCACTCTATTCCATAAGATATAGGTACTTCGAAGGATATCCTTCGGAGATATCCAAAAAGTATACGATATCTTATGGACGTCCAGGTTAATGAACTGAATATATTTTGGGCATCCTTCGGATGTTTGTTATATGGGTTAACGTATTTCATAATGAATTACAGAACACATTCGGACTGGAGAAACGCCTGGCATCAAGAGAAGCATTCCAGGTGTAGGGGAGATTTGGTGAAACACTTGTTCTGGGCATGCGAAAAAGATATCTATCGACTAACAAGAAGGAGCGATCCCCGTTACAAAAGCTATGACGATTATGATAATGATGATATTGAGGGTAAGAGCTCTTTTTGGTAGTTTGGTTGATTCAGGCGAAATAATAATAATAATAATATTTATTCACTATTTGTGATACATAGCGTATATATGGTAGATAGAAAATTCCTTCGCACAACCCCAAGGCATTATGTTGAAACTGATGTGGGAGTAGGTATGCATTCGCAAAGTAAACATTCAGTAAACCAAAACTATCTAAACAATGTATCAACTGTTTGATTGAATAATAAGCTGAATTGAGTTTACTGCACACTTTTTGTATGCATCTAAAATAGTTCGTAGAAAATTTACTTCTTTTAATTTTTTATGTCATTCAAAGTGAATAAATGACAACAGAAATCTCTTCTAACAAATGTTTTCATCAATAGTGACTTCAATTGACATTGGAGTGTTATTTAGAAAATTTATGATAGATTTTCATTAAGTATCAACTGATAACATCGAAGATCAGTTTGTTTTTTGTTTTAACTTGTTATATTCTGTTTATTCATGTTTCATTCTTTTATTTTATACATTATTTTTGTTATACTATTGAAAATATTATTGTTTTTGTTATTTTCACGTTTGCTGCTGAAAAATCAATTAAATACGAATATGTTAAAAAAATATGTAGATATACTTTCATCATTTATGTGCGCTTTTATTCTACTGAAAGCTTATTTTTTCAGTTGACTTTCCATGGAAATCTCCACGTAGAGCAAAACGAATCCTTCGATTTAGAAGGAGCATCGATCGCAGATCAGGATCTTCTATAACCAACGAGTGCTGCAAATCTACGGGTTGCACTTGGGAGGAGTATGCCGAATATTGCCCTACTAATAAAAGATACACATCATATGTTTGATTCAATCGGATTTTAAATGGCAAACTTATTCATTTTTTTTTATAATTATTCTAGTCATTACCAAAAATATTATTGAATATAACACCTAATAGCACGCATTTTTAATGGGTTTTCCTAAATGTTGGGTAATATAAATTAAATTTAAAAAACTAGAGAAATCAAATGTTGTTAAAAAAAATCCAGAAGTTGTAGATGAATAAAAGGTGGGTCAATACAGGGGGTTCATTGATTTTGAAATTGAAGTACCAATAGGTGCAAAATCTGTATATCTTGAGTCTTTGGTATTGAAACAACTCAAACTGAGGTAAACATTAATAAGAATTCTTTTTTTTTGAAAACTAGATCAGCAGAAAATTCCTTAATGAAAAACTTGAAAGTGAAATGTACCTATAACCATAAAACGTATAAATCTTTACCTTAGGACCTTTTTTCTCACCTAATAGGTAACCTAGAGATTTTACTCCTTTATGAACGCTCAAAAGATATAAGCTGCATAGATCAACTTCACTACTTGTTAGTACCATATTCCTTTAGCGAATCGTGCTAAAAAGTTTCACTTTTCATCAGTCCGGACTTCCATTGTCTAATATGATATAAATTGATTTGAAATCCCTGAAAGAATCTGTAAAAAATTAAAAAGATTAGCTGAAATTATATCATATTAGATAATGGACGTTGTTGAAATGCATCACGAAACATTGTCAACCACCTTCAAACAAAAAGTTTTACAATGCATTTTGTTGAGGGTAGGTAGTAAATTTAAAATGAGTGGGTCTATCGACCCTTCACAGTAACCCTTGAGAGTTTATTGTGGCTTAGCTATATTCAAACTCGACTAAGTAAATCCAGCTCATCAGCAAAACACATTACAGCTACCGGACTGAGTCATGGCCGTATCTGCGTAAAGTTTGGGTCGGTGTATGACAAAGAAAGTATTAGGAAAAAAGGAATAGAAACTTTTATTTGCAATTCTACGTTTACGGCTCGAATAATCTACACATCTACTGCACATCTTGAGGGAGGGGCTTCTCACCGGCCATGACTCAGTCTGGCAGCTGTACATCAATCCACTCCAAGATTGACAGACCATGGTACATTTTTATCAATCTAATGAGGACCTGATCGGCAGTTAATCTAAGACTTCTTTCACCAGGTGGGAAAGGGTAGTTATGCTGTGAAACATTTAAGGGAAATGTCCTCCTGATCCTCTCAGGTAACCTGTATCCATCCAGGCTAGAATGTGCAGCTCCTGGAATCGTATCTGCGATATCCTCTATGTCAGCCATAATGGCATAGTGAAGAGATTCCAATTGAATGTTCAATACTGAGGTTGTCGGATGTTCAATGTGCAAGATTTTCAACTTAATGACAACAGCAACCTTCCCTTCATGGTGGCATCTGTAAGTCAGCTAATACCTGACGGTACATTAGATTTAGCTAAGTAGGGTTTTTCCACCTCTCATTTGGTTGAATCATCATTTAAGCGTGAGCAGTTCTCATGATGCAGATTCTGCTGCCCAAGAATTTGGTACAAGATGCACTCATGGATTGCATCACCTAATCCCTTAGGTGTGATCTAGTGTTGGAAAACTGAGAAGCTCTTGATCCGTTGCTATAGGGAGGACAGTTTGGGTTTTTTGTTATTCAACTGATATCTCCTCCAGATTGGTCTTTTGATTATTTCATGGTTCATAAAGGGTCCAGCGAGTAGTTACGGAAAGGAGGTCCATCACGACGGTGCCCCATTACAGTGACAAAGCTTTCTACCAGAGAGCGGCTGGCCACTTGAAGGTTTCCTCAGTGAAACTGAGCATTCTTCTTACCATAGGATAAATTTGGATTTCACTGGATCAGTTTGTTTTTTGACTACTGTTTATTTATCCAAACATTTTATTATGATTTGACCTCTGCTTCCAAGTTGTGATTTGGTATAATTTCATTACTTTTTCGAAATCTTGTAGTTAGTGACAATAGTAACATTAGTATCCAGAAGAAAAATTAGTAAACATTGAATCTGTGGTGGGACTGCGATTTTCCCAGACCTCATTCTCTTGGATGAAGATAATAATATCTTCAAATAATAGAAATCTAAGGGAATGTGGCCTATTACAAGGAAACCACTGACACTGAAAGAAAAATAGAATCAGAAAAAATGTTTGATCTATTACAAGATGAACTTTAACTGAAGTTTTAAAAAAAAATTAAAGATGTCTGGCACAAAACGGAAGATTATTCTGTATGCTGTGAATATATACTTTTAAAATTTTTTGAGTTCATTTCGTTACATTTTTTTCCAGCACAATAAAAATATTGGTTTTCTGAATTTTCCTGAAGGATTAGATTTCTCTACATTATCTGTAACTCATAGTGTGGACTATTCTGGTGTGGCCTTATTCACAGGGGGTTCAATTCGAAATAACCTTAGAAAACATGATTACGAGTTATGTCTACCCCTGTATGGAACAAGCGTCACTCGGTAAAATTATGAATAGGAAATGAAAATACAGTAGAAAATAGTAGGTGTGAAATTAATCCAATTTTGTGACATGAATCCCACCAAATTGTCATGGTAATTTTTTGAAAATTTTAGTGAGGTTCATTTTTAAAACAATGAAGTAAAAATGGATCTGGAAATGAAACGAACAGTTCAACAAGTTATTCAATTTTATTTCTGCTATTCTTTGACCTAACATGTACACCATCATATTTCAAAAAATATAGATAATAACTAACCCAACAATACACAACCCCTGCTGCACAATAGACAGAGGTAATCATCAGTGGCAAGAAAGGCAATCCAACATTCAATCCTAGTAGGTTGTGTATCAAGTTCTCATATAAAAACACTCCTACCAAACCGAGAAGGTATAAGCTTTCGAAAGCATTCAGCAATGGTAGGATGTAATTGCATATAGTGAGAGGGTGCATTGTGTACAAGCTGTGAAAAGCGTACAGGGTGTAGAGGAAATGTAGAAGAACTTTAACAGGTAATAAAGAAGAAGGGTACAAGAGAGGAAACAGGGAGTAATGTCCGACTGTTGACAGGATGAGGAAATGCTTGGCATCTGTCGGTTCCATGATGGATAAAATGCTGAAAAAAAAGGTGTTGTTATTTCGAAACTATTCATGTTGATGGTTGTTAGGATTACTTTTTCAGTTTATCCAAGTTGACATATAGCATTTTCATAAATAAGGATGTGAAGAGAAAAATTGGAATGAGTATCGTCAGAAAAATTACTGAATATAAATTAAATATAGGATGATGAAAATAACATTTATCTGATTTCAACTACATTTTTATTTGTCACGACCGGTTTCGGTTTGTTAAATCATTTTCAATTTAGTTTACTTGAAAATGGTTTGACTAACCGAAACCAGTCGTAACAAAGTTATATTCTTTATCCCATATTCAATATGAATTTCTACAAAATATCAGACTGTCATTTATCATTCCAACAATCTGAAAATTTTAACAAGTTTGTTTATGGGAAACTCTTTGATTCAAAGGAATTACTCGGTGCTCTAGACATGCATGGAAAAAAGTATATTAATACATGACTTGTGTTTTCGATAAACTGAATATACAAATAAGATAGCAGGAATTCATAAAAATGTGCCTGGGGCACCATATGTAATATTGAATACAATTGTGGGTGTTACTGTCTGTCTTATTATTACAACTTTTCGCAATTTCTTTTTTGCAACAAGATTTGCATAAATATTTATTTCTAAAATAATTACCTGTTTTACGGGAATACTTTTTTCTAAGCAACTTTTACTTTTAGCCAACCACCTTAACCAATTTCTTATGTTTTTTTTATTTAGACAATTTGACCATAATTTGTTTATAGTGTTCTAGCACTAGTGCTAGAATACTTGAGAATGGTGTAAAAACCGTAACCTTGGTCGTATTAATATCAATACATTAAGTAAGTGGAAATTAGACAAAGTATTTTATTCCTATATCTAATTGAAAATCTACTATGACTGCAATAATATTGTTAAAAAAATAAGAGATGACTACATCATCATTCAAAATATGAGAACTTAAAAAAAGTGAATTTTTCATCTGGCTTAAGAAAGTCCTCAAAGAAAAATGTTATTATTCAATAGAAGATTTTTCAAAAATTCACATCTATTGTAGGTATTATATATGTATGTGAAATTTTTGTATATACTCATTTTGTAGTTTTTCGAATATGTGAACAAATCGTTCAATTCAGTGTGTTGAATCTTCAATACACTGAGTATACTTCTATGTTTTTTAGGATTATGACAATAACGACGTCATAATGTCTCATTTACAACGAAGAAGCTGAATGATTGATAATCATTTGTTACAAATTTCTGAGAAACAATGCATTACCATAGTCTCATTGCATTCTTTGTTACTACTTCGTTTTATTGCTCATGAATTTCAATTTCTAAGTGCATGAATATAATTTTAGAGTGTTTGATTATCTTCAGATTCTCTATGTGTAAAATCCAGAATTATTGAAAAATCTATCAAACTCAAATTACCTGAGGGGAATTATAGCCATGAGAATGGCTTTCTCATGAACGTGCCATCCAAACAAGAAGGAAGTCAAAGCGCAAACCACCAAGCACCTCACGAAATTTGTAGCCTGTTTGTTGAGTGTGAACAGTTTCACCATGGCAGGAATCATGAAGATTGCAGTAAGTAACATTGTTGCAAGTGGCGAGACACTTGGAAGAAACGAATGCGCAAATTCTTGAACAAGACCGCCTGTCATGGAAGCTGTAGAGTTTTTAAGGATATTTCCATTCAATTTTGAAACTGAAATGGGAAATCAATAAACAAACAAATTGAGGGTGAACACTAATATTTACACCATTTCAAACTCACCTAATATGTATCCTATTTTGTCCACAGTATTATAGAGAGCCCAAATATTTGGAGCCCAATAGGCATGGCAGAGGCCCCTTTTGAAGGGAAACAGTCTGGAGATGATCTGAAAAATTAGTAGAAAACCTTGCCAAAAATGTTAATGTTTTCTCAAATAAAACGTTTGTAGATATTTTGGCCATTATTTTTTATAACTTATTTAAACAATCTTTACTATATAGCAGGTTCCCGTAAGCTCAATTTTGCATAATGTATTCATAAAGCTGTAGGAACATTTATTACCAGAACATATTTTAAACTAAAGCTTGATATATTTAATTATTTCATGACATGTTCTACTTGATTTTTAAAAAAATTCCCTACACACTCTATATTCAAATGTGTAATCTTTTGTTGTAACAAATTGAAACCTATTATTCCTGTCCAAATTTTAAAATTGACATGATATCAGTTTCTAAGTTATATGATATTGTACATTAAACTTGCTTGTCTATTAGAAAATAAACTTACTCACTTAACTTACCTGTGGAATGTGATCATAAAACGGTAGAAAAGTTACAATGAACACCCCAATAACTGTAAACCCTAGAAATGCCAAATTTTTCAGATTTCCTAAGGACACAACAGTCTTGATACAAAGTGGACCTTTCAAATAATGGTGCCTCAGCAAATAGATGAAGTATGCAGGAGCTAAGTAAATGTAGATGTGTTTCATATTTAGCAAGACACTGAACCAGAATGCAGACCACACATGCTGCCCCTAAAATGAATGAGACAATATCCTGCAGGAACTGGCTCAAATTTTAATTTGAATGGCTCAAGCTACTTTTTTTGAAAAATTGTCAATTAGATTTACATACTTTCCTAGTCCACAGAAAAGTAAAAAACTGACAATTTCAGCAACTCACCTTTGATAATAAAATGTAGTGAAATAACACTTCCTTTTCACAACAGCATGCTGCAGACCTTCATTATCTTAAAATTGATGTTAAGAGAATGTTCATAAAATTAAATAACACATTTTCATTAGTTCTTTTGGCAATATTACAAAATGAACTAGAAATGAATGCAACTTTATCATGACATGTTGATTAAAAAGATAAAACTATTTAGAATGGGGCTATCAGAACTAGATTCCATGTTTGTTGTTTGTGTAGTGTTTCATTAAAAAGAAGACTGAATTGACAAAAAAAAAAACATGTTCACAATTGATGAATAAGAAGAAAGAGATAATCTTTTGTCTTCTAGGGCACAATTGAGTGGAGTTTTCAAAATGTGACAACAAAATTTTCATTTCTTGATTGACTTTTCATATTACCAATAAACAACAAAATCTCTAATGAAGCAATGATGAAAAATGTTATTTCGGTGTAATTGAAGTTATTTATTATGCGGAAAAAACTGAATAAAGTTCTGCTATATGGGATCGTGAAAAAAAAGTTGCAGTTTCCCAGTAATAATTTTTTTTCCAAAACTGAAGAGAGCCATTAGGTAAAAATAATATTTACTCATTTTGGGAACATAACTCACTTGAAACATATAGGAAATAGAAATCAGTAAAATACCATACATCAACCCATTATATTGAAAATGAATATGGTCTACCATCAAAAGACCGCAATTAGTAATAAGTAAAATTGGTAGTACCACATCTTTACGCCAACTTTTTTGTAAGGCAGAGCAGCACCTGAAAAGTTGAACAATGTTCTAATGCTTTAGGTCAGATTCAAATATACATACATATAAACTCCTAGTGCATATACAAGGTCAGTAACAATAACAGAAAGTCTTTGAAACAATACAGTATTATCAGAAGAATAGTTGATATGATCAACATTCAACATTTTTGGGTCAAACAGCAGAGCGACCCATGATAGTAAATATTCGAACCAGGCAAAAAGTGGAGGATAATCCAATGTCCATTCTGAGGTAGCCTCAAAATACCATTTCTTCAAGGGTATTCTGTGAGTGATTGCTAGCCAGTTTCTATGTACTTCGAAGTCTGTAGATCTGCTAAAATATAAGATACTTTCAGAAAAAAAAAATTATAAAAGGGTTACTTACTATGAAGGAATCAGTAACACTTTCAAACAAGTGGTCAACAAAGTTGCAGTGAATATCATGTTCCTAATATTTTGAATAGATTGAGCAGTTTTGTAAGTACATCTCAATAACAGAAAAAATATTTACTCCCAAACATCAAAGAAAAGATGACCACAATAACCTAAAAAAATAATAGGTTAGAATTACAAAATTTCAAAAGCTTTTGACATGGAACCACAGAACTCTTGAGTTTCGTAGCGTTTTCCATTAGAAAAACCAGTGTTTACTTAGTATGGTACTGTTACTAGTTGTGTATTTTTCTGTTTGATTCGGCCTGGCCGTTACTTGATGAAGATCCATAGTAATTTCATAAACTACACCTTACGATTTGATCTCCACAAACTTTATTTGAGAAATATATCACGACATGTTTCGCAAACACAGTAGCTTCTTCAGCAGTGATTTCAAATCACTGTTGAAGTGGAGATCAAATCGTAAGGTGTAGTTTATGAAATGAGTTGTGTATTGTTGTTACCCAGATTAAGTAATTCCCACCAAAAGTTATTCGTTATATCATCTACTAGATGTATTCTGATGAGGCAAAGAGAGCAAATAACTTTTGGCGGAAATGACAGATCTCGAATAAGATCAGTGGGAATAAAAACATGTAGGTAATATAGCGGTTTGAATCTATAAAATTTCAACATTAGTGCAATTGAATTAAACTAAATTTCAGGGCGGTAAAATGATTGTTCGAATATTTTGTTGTTTGTGATACAATTTTAGGCAAATTGAGAGCTAGATTAAAATCAAAATGTTTGGCGGGCAAATATAAAATACTAGTAGTTTGAATGAAAAAGTTTTCATAAGAAATTTATCATTTTCTCATTTTCAGTTCTTTCAATGAACCTGGTAGCTTGAAAATAAAAGTTTCAAAAGGTGTATTAAATTGTCTAAACGCCTTTTCATTTGCACATGCGGAAAACAAAACTTCATTCAAAAATGTAGTACATTTTAATAGATCAATTTACTCGATTTTTACTGATGATTTTGCATTTTCATTCTCAGTGTATTTGTGATATACTGTTTGGAACCTTTGGTGTAGTAATGCATATTACTGGAGTTTTTTCCCAAAACCAAATCGTTATTTTTACACCTCGACACGTGTTTCGATCACCAAGTGATCATCTTCAAGAGGAATAGATAAAACTGTTTTATTTCTTATCTTCCTCTTGAAGATGATCACCAAGTAATCATCTTCAAGATCATCTTCAAGAAAATAAAACAGTTTTATCTTCCTCTTGAAGATGATCACTTGGTGATCGAAACACGTGTCGAGGTGTAAAAATAACGATTTGGTGTTGGGAAAAAACTCCAGTAATACTCAGTGTATTGTTTAAATAATTATTTCCTTGAGAGACTATAAGTTTTATAGCAAGAACCAATTGATTTGATTTTTTTTCAGATTCTTATTCCTACTTTACTCCAACCACAGAGTTATCCCATACCTAGATTGTGCTTCAAATAGAGCTGTTTCTATCAAATTCTGTCCATTACTTCCATCTCAATCGAATATTATATATAGGTACGATATTTGGTTATATAACGAAAAAACGTGTTTTAACCATAGTTTGACCCCATGCTTAGATATAGTTTATCCATTCTGCGTAATAACAGTAATAATGTTATCAAGCGTTTCGGATTATGTAAACATTGCACTTTAGTGATAGCGATTTTCCCTCTCCGCTCTTTCTCGGTAGGCTCGGTTTTCTCCATTCAAAATAATCAAAATCAGTTTGATTTGGTTGGCTTTGTGCAGCGGTCGCCCGTTGTTTGTTTTCGATCAATTTCCTCACATATCAAAGTCGAAATGTCAATAAAGGGTTGCACGAATCCAAAAAAAGTGTGTATCGTCGGCAGCGGCAATTGGTAACTAGATTTCGTAGAAATTTTCCTGTTTTTCATTCATAAACCGCCTTGTCTAGTTGTTCTAACCTTACTATTATTTTTAGTTGAATTAGATAACTTTAACCTTGGATATATACGCTGTAGTTTTGATAGTAATGAACTGATTCAGGAAATGCGAAATATCTAAGAATCGTGTTTTAGGGGATCTGCCATCGCAAAAATCGTGGGGAACAATGCCCTCCAACAAAAGCACCTTGATGACAGGGTCACCATGTATGTTTATGAGGAGATCATCAATGGGAAGAAACTCACAGAAATAATCAATGAAACTCATGAAAATGTTAAATACCTGCCAGGCCATAAACTACCAGCTAATGTAGTGAGTATAGTCCCATTATTTTTGAAAAGAAAAGAATCGGTACATAACTGGTTTTTGTAATTTCAACTGCCAGTGCTTTCTCAAGGTTGTACATTCATTAGGCAAGTTGTTCCTTGTTTGAATTTTTGCTGAATTAACAAATACATCTCAAGAGAAAATGCAAAGGTCAAAGGCAGGCTTATAAATTATATAACTAGTCCAAATAAAGGATTATAAAATGCTTAGATGTGCTGTTATTGTGTTATTATTGCTGCAATATAAAGTTATGTTCTGTACATAATATATCAGTCAATTTCCTTATCAGTGAAATAACTTTTACACTGATAACTATATACTCATTAAGTTAACATTAATTCCAGAACGTTTATCAGCTTAAGGAAAGTTTATGGTTGTTCAGTCTCAACATATGAAATTAATGCCTTATATTTTCCTAATGCATTGATGTATTGAAAATACCTCAACCCTACTGTTAAAGTATGATTTACAAAAATTGTACACAGAAAAAATCACTTTGCACTTTAATAAGCTTGTCTATACCTGAAAGCATAACTAGCATTTTTCCTCTTTATCATCAAGTGAGTAGAGAAAATTACTTGTTTGTCAAAATCACTTTGAAACTCTCTAAATTGGGGAAAATGTATTGGGTCAATTATTCTTGTGTGTCAGATATTCCCAGTGTCCCCACTATTTATTATGTGGCAAGTACTTATTTTTGCCAATTCAAATAGAACACATGTCTTTTCCTGGCTCAAAAATAGAAAATTTCTAGATAGTTGAATATTTGCTGCCAAAATTATAAACAGAAATTTTCAATAACATTGTTCAAGAATATTGCATATATAAATAACCTTTCAGCTGTAATCATTGCTGCTGTAAAACTGGTTTTACTTTCTAAATACTCCAATATAAAAATAATAGTTCAAGTCAGTAACTTTGTATAATTTTACATTTTAAATCTTTCTCAGTTGTTTGTCTGATTTCCTATGACCTTCACCTGTTCAAAAGATAAATACCTTTCTTCATTGAAATAATTCTATGTAATTGGAATGGTTTTCAAACATGATTGTTCAAAATACAACTTTTACCTTTGATTAGATAATTTCTTCACTGTCAAGTGGGAAATTATGGCATTGAAATCATTAAATGATTGTGATGACCTAATTCCTGTGAATAAAATCATAAGTACCAAAGAAATTGACAATAATATTCAATTTGTTCGTGAATGTTACAACCCAGACTGTAATTAAGATTTTTCATATTGAAATACTTTGTTATTTATTAAAAGGTAATAATGATTCCAACAAAAACACTTTCCATACCCCAAAACTGTAATATTATTCTCGATGCACGAGATAATGCAACTGTGTTGAAGTAACACTTGTGAAGAAGAGACTGTAACAATTATGTTATTGTTGAAGAATGTTAGGGGAGGTGTGGGATTAGAGAAACAATTTTACTACAGTTGTGCTTATTGAAGTTCCACATGAATCCTAATTTTTAAAGATGTGTCAGCTCAAGTAAATATATTGTCTAATTGAGAAACTGTATAAAACCTCTAGGTTGCCATACCAGACGTAGTAGAAGCAGCAAAAGAGGCTGATGTTTTGATTTTCGTGGTACCCCATCAATTCATCAGGACGCTGTGTTCAACTCTCTTGGGTAAAATAAAACCAACTGCCATTGCTTTATCATTGATAAAAGTAAGTAGATAAATTTGTTTATTTTTCTGTTATGCTTTGATAAATCTGCCTTGTAACCAAGTAAAAATTACGGTTTTTATGATGAATTTGGTTACAAAATTTCCCTGAAAAATCAGTTGAAATGATTAAAAATTGTGTGATATTCGTAGGAAGCACCTCTTATTCAATTCATGAGCTATGAAATATACTGTGGTTGCGTAACGTAAACTTGAGAATTCCACAAAAAATCTGAAAGCGTCATATCAGGTGATCTAGCAGTCCGTTTTAAAAGAAAACTTTTACCTATGGAAAGGTTTGGAATACTGTCACCTAGTCACTTTCGAATCAGTCTGTCGTAATGAAGAGGTATCTCATCTTAAACTTCAGTTGAAAACTCATTTGGGTTTGCCAATTATCCAAACTGATAGGCAGGCAAATATGGTTCCTTAGAATGACCTATAAGATCACCTGATATGACGCCTTTAGATGTTTTTGAGAAGATAATATGTGAAGTGTATGATACAGAGCTGCAGTATATTTCGTAACATGACTGATTTGATTTCAAATAGAGAATCAAAATACTTATCATTCAATGTCACAATACCCCATTTCATAAAAAAAAAGTTGGTAGCGCCCTTTTGGCGCTATTGTCTTTTTCTTATCAAGAAGTATCAAAAATGGTGCCTTTTATTCTGATTATTCTCATATTGTTTACTTCTGCAGTCAATTCTTGGGCAATTCTCATAGATGTTGGTTAAGCCACTGAATGATGTTTTATGTTTATATTTAATTCGAAAAAAAACAATTTCATTAACGGTATTACAAATAACACTGAATTCTTTTAGGGTTTTGATCGTGCTGAAGGTGGTGGAATCGACCTTATTTCGCACATCATAACCCGCCACCTGAAAATTCCATGTTCCGTTTTGATGGGTGCCAATTTAGCAGGTGAAGTAGCAGACGAAAAGTTCTGCGAAACAACGATAGGTTGTAAAGACGTCACAGTCGGACCTCTGTTGAGAGACATCATTCAGACCAATTACTTCAGAGTTGTAGTGGTTGATGATGAGGATACGGTAGAAGTTTGCGGTGCTCTGAAGGTAGGAAAATTGGTCTTACTCACAGTACTTGTAATACTATAGAAGTTTTTTCCCTAGAACATTGTAGCTTGTGGTGCCGGCTTCGTAGATGGTCTCGGGCTCGGTGACAACACCAAGGCTGCTGTAATTCGTTTAGGTCTTATGGAGATGGTAAAGTTTGTCGATGTTTTCTATCCAGGCGGTAAACTCGCTACCTTCTTCGAGAGCTGTGGTGTTGCCGATCTCATAACCACTTGCTACGGTGGACGAAACCGCAAAGTTAGTGAGGCGTTCGTCAAAACAGGAAAGTCCATCAAGGAATTAGAAGATGAGATGCTGAATGGGCAAAAATTGCAGGGACCTTTCACAGCGGAAGAGGTTAATTATATGTTAAAAAACAAGGATATGGAAGACAGGTGAGTTTATTTAGAATGTTAGATGAATATTTTTCCAAAAACTGATCCACTGGAAAGACCAAAAGCATCTCCTCAGAGTTGATTTAAATTGATAAAAAGCACTGTCATACTTACATACATCAAAATTTGTTTAAAATCATTGAAATATGTATATATATAAAACCAAAAGTTTGGACGAGAAAAAAATTGCATGGAAGTTATTATCTCATGAATCAATACTACAACACATTGTAAAAAAGACAGCTTCATCAGATGAGAATTCTTCGATACCATAGCAGTATTTTTGTAGAATGCATCTGCTAGAAACCAATCCATTAAAAGGTGTTACATATTTTATTGTATTGGAACATATTTTCTGTTCTCCTAGTGCGAACTCTAATTATGAAAAATATTTTTTCGTACTTAATTTGAATAATCTAAAACTCGCCTGAAGAGTTGAAAATAAAAGCGGAAAACAGAGTTGAATATCTTAAAAATTGAATTTTCATTTTTAACAAAACGTTTTTTTTTCTAGATTTCCTCTCTTCACTGCCATCCACAAAATCTGCACAGGCCAACTGAAACCCCTGGATTTCATCGATTGCATCAGGCAACACCCTGAGCACATGTAAGTGTGCCAATTTGTTTTTGTTTTTGAGTTTTTGACTTTGAATATTGGGTGACTAATAATCTCACTACCACTTCCAACAATTCCTTTCCTAGGGGTTTTAATTTGGGACGAAATTTTTTTAAATATACCATTGCAACTACTTTGGTAGGCCTTGAAATTATTACCAAATTGTTATAGTTGATATTTTTATTAAAAATGTGATCCCTAGTTCATACGCATTGTTGGAAATTTCATCGAATTACTTGGCATTTTCTAAATTTCGATTATTAATCAGTTACATTTCAAATTGAAATAATTTTTTATGCGTTTTGTAATTTTAATGCATCTACCTCAACAACAATCAAAATATTCAGTGGTGCCACATTTCAATATTTAATTAATTACTCTACAAAGTTTACTGAACTTGAGCATTTATTTACTTACAATGTTAGAAATCTTAGAAAAGATTAAAAATTTTGTTTTTCCTTTTTGGGTATATAAATCACATATACCTAACAGCTAGTTTTTTTCTTTGGAAAATAATAATAATAGTACGTGAAAAATAGTGATCTGCTTTGAATTAATGGTAATTCTTTTGGATTATTCTTTAGAAAATGAAATCAAACCATCCATAGATGAATATTTTTTTAAGTAATTTTTATGTAATAAAATTGCACTGAAAAAATGTGCAACTTGTACATCTACTTTTGAAATCACCTTTGTTTAACGTGATTGAACTTCAACTAAATTTGAAATGAAGTCAAAGGTCGTGAAATAAAATTTTGTATACACAAGTTCACGATAATTTTGTCTGTTGTTTGTTCATTTGATATAATTAAACCTTGAGAGATAAGAAAAGATGATTTTTCTAAAATTTACTTTTCCTCAAAGTGACCCCTGGATGATCAATTAGGTTATACAATATAATATTGTCCAATATATTCGTCCAATATATATACTCTACCCTAGATGCAAAATATCAACCCAAATTTTTTCATGTGGAACCACTGAAACTCAAATTCGATCATTTTTGCTCTCTTTCAATAATGAATTCAACTGATTGAAAGAAATGTAATATTGATAATCATTTTTATAGGTTCATAACTTTCAAATTATAGGAATACAAAGACCTATCTATTTTTTTTTGGGTTATATCGATCAATCTGCTACCATTGATTAGCTGTCATTTATATTACAATCATTTAAAATATTCCAATGTTTTACTTCAGTATTAAATGTAATAGATTATTCTGTACTTGAAACCCTTTTGGCAATTTCCTTTAACATTTCGCATTCCTATTGTTTGGTGACCTTTATTTTCTGAATATAAAGTTGTTTTATCTCGTAGCTTTTCTTTTGATTTTGAGAACTAATGGTTTCATATTCAGACAAGAGAAGTCGCCACCAGACAACAGAAAAATGAAATGTCTCAGACGAACTAAGATAAGATTTTCCGTTTATGGAATGATCTATGGCTAACGGCATTTTTCNATTCAACTCAGATTATTATTCGATGATGAAAAATAATTTTAAAATATCCTTATAACAAAACAGACAATGTGAGGAACTTCTAAAGAAAGGAAGAAAGAAAACAACAACAATAAAAACTCTTCATAAAGATATGTAGAGCATATATAAATGTAAGTGTAAGACTAGCCCCAGGCTGAACTTTTTCCCAAGAGCCTCTGGGATCGACAGAAGATTTAATCTAAGAATATCGACTAGAAACGAGGCTCCCAAATTCAGACTGTTGTCTTGAAATTAGATGTCTCCAATTTCAACTAGTTGTCTTGCAGTGAAAGCGGCAGAGAAAGACAGCAGACAAATCTCGTTCGGCTATTGATGTTGAAGTTTGTTTTTGCTGCGAATTACCTTTGGGAACCACATTTATCATCGATATTTGTGGTGTGAATCTTGTATCGATCCTTGGAAAGCGTTTTCTTAAGGGGATATGTCATCATCTTTATGTAATCATATTATTATATATCCTCTGAGGATAATAAACCATAATCTTCATGACTCTTGTATTTGATGTGGCATAATTATTTCTTTTCTAATTTATTACAACTTAAATAATATTCCCCATCATCTAATTATGTGGCAGGCTGAATTTATTGGGTATCAAAAAAGGTTACTGCTTTATTGCTTTTAATAAATCCCCGCTTCAAAATTTTATCTCAAAAAATACATTGAATTTCAATCTGTGAATCGCAACTGGTGAAAAATCTTAGTTTGACTAAATTCAAAAAATAAAATAAAGCAACACCTCCTCAAATACTGTTTCTATTCCCTTGAAGAATTTCAACATGCCAATTTCGAAGAATTATCTTACTTTCTTGTGCTTTTTTTTCATTTCATTCATCTCCCGTTTCCTTACTTATTCTTAATTTCAAACTGTTGAAGTTTCGATTGTCTGTGTACTGTCATCTTTCATAACTTTCATAGAATGCATTATTCATCCTTTCGTTTCATTACTCTGCTATCAATGTAATGGCGTTACATGATGTAGTGAAATAAATAAAGTATTTGTGTTGGTATTCCCAATTTTTTGATATCGCATCAACATGACTGTTACATCTATTTTATTAAGATATATCAGTTGAAACCAGAACCCATATTCAAAGAAATTGCGCTGCTTAGACCAGCCTTAGGCCTCAATAGTGGTGCTACGCTGGACTATGAATGCATTATTGGTTATGATATAAATATGTTGTCTGTATGTATACCCATGATTCGTCGCCAGTTATAACCTATTTAAGCAAATCTGGATCGCCGTTGACGTCATTCAACAATCCCTGAGCGCCCAACTAGCAAAATTTCATGGTGCTGCAACAGTTTTATTTTGTTGGTATTTTATAATTATTACTTCCAAAATGCTAAGTGATTATATTAGACGAGCGGTGAACATAATACAGTTATAAGCAATAGAAGTGTTTTATAAATTTGTCATAGAAACGTTTATAAAATAAAATTAAAAATCCATTATAAAATAGTCACGAAATTATCACAAAAACGTTATTACAACTAACTTATAAAACATATTCTCTTATAAAATCAAATTGTTGTGTAGAAGATTTACAGCACTGTGAGGTTTTTATGTTCTTTATAAAACTATTTCAAAATTATTTTATAACTGCTTCCTGTAGCTTTAATGAAACAATTTTATTGGAATGCTTTCAAACACAATTTTGTTTTCATTACCATATTGTCACTTTAATGATAATTTCCCAACTATTTCATAGTATGGTATATTTATTACAATTTCAAAACAATAAAATAACTGTTATAAAATCAAATTGCTTTCGCTAATATATATTTGCTGTCGCCAATAATAAACTGCAGCATTTAAGAAGAACCAGCTAACATTTATTTTAGAGGTCGTGTAATGAAGTATAATTTGCCAGTTTTATTTAACTAGCGTTCTAATAACTGTATACCTAAAAACGTCGTGTAATATTGGTCATTGGAAAAAAAAATTAAGAAAATATTTTCGTTTTAGACTAAGACCCACGTAACCTAATGCTTCAATTTTGTTCTTGCTAAAAACAGGAAAAGGTTATTGATGATTAGAATCCGTCGATTCAAGTGGAGCACTATGTTTATGTACACTCAAATCACTAGCCTTCGAAATTCAGCCTTTATAATCGATGGAAGAAGCTTCTCAGCCAAAACATTCCGACAGATAATTTGTATACAAACAATACGTGAGAAATCCTATCTTCATTTTTATAGAAATATATAGTTTCAAAAGTAGTCTGACTCTGCCGCAATACCATACCAGTTTTATTTGGGGTAACATATAAGCTAAAATACGTTTAAAATTCTTGCTATTGATACCAAATTATTTTATAGAACGACCCCATTTTAAAATGATAGCAATTCGGAATACTGACATTAGATGTGTTGAAAATATGAAATACTGCACATGTGATATTTACAGATGAAAAGTACATAGATATTATAAGATTTTATTATTTAGAACAGAGTTGAATTTTAATTTATACCCATTACCTACCTATTACTTATTTAGGAAACAGTTCAGATTACAGTAGATTATTATTTGATGGCTGATGAATATTATTGAAATATCAGGCGAGAATCTGATGTCAGTAATATAAAACTACATACCCAGATTTAAATGTGAAGAAGTGCCAATATTTGAACTAATTAGAGAAGTAATAATTTTTGGTGTTCCTCATTTATTTTTGAAACAAGAGCTGTTTTCTATTTTTGGTGTTTTATCAGGGTCCTTTCAATCTCCCACTGTTTTACCGTGCAGACAATCCAATTTGATGATTCTTCAAAATCTTATGAAAGCTTCTAAAAATGATATTTCAACTTGTTTAACAGTACTTTTCCTACGAATCAGAAGGAGATTACTTTTTCCACACGCATGTTTTGCTAATCAAGATAGCATCATCAGGAGATGACTAAAACTGATTCATTTATGATTATCTAATAATGTTTAGCAAAACCACAAGCACTAAAAAATACTTTATTTCTGGTGTGTGGAAACACTTTCTTCATTAGATTCATTTCACACTAAAGTTCCAATCCTATCCATCAAAATATCAACAAAAGTGAAAGTAATTTCAGAATTGATTTTTTTTTAATTTTAAAATCAAATCTTCAGTAAAAATGTACACTACCCTTTTCTTTTTAGTGACAAAATTAGGTTTGGGCCAATGTTTCACATGTTTTACTTTTAAACTTTTTGATTTTTGGGAAATTGAAATGAACAAAAATTTTGGCAGAACAACATTTACAGTTGCTTTAGTTATCTTTGTGTTTCAGGGTGAAACAAAGTATCAGCTAAAATTCCTAGTGGTTTTGACGAGAAGCTACTTTGAAAAACTTCGGAGTTAATCCATACAAATAAGTTTGAATTAATCTTTCTTGAACTGTATAGGTAAACTATATGCCGAAGAATGTTAAAATTGAACTGTCACTGTGCTTCTTTCGAAGATATAGTTCAAAAGAATAGTAAATCTCTTGTTTTAGAGATATTGTTGATTAGTTGTAAGTAATGAGGGCAAATAAATAACTGTTTATTCAATGTTTACTTCATGAAAAATATTGAGACTGTCCTTTTCTGTTGTGTTGAAAAGATATCCACATAATGTATTTCTCAGTGCCAGCACGTTATTGATTTCACAAAGATAAATAACAAATTCAGTCTTCATTTATACAATTATTTATGAGCAAATTTATAGAAGAATTTGAATAGGAGTATCAAATCTGATGAGTGCATTATAATAAAGGCATTCCTCAACGGTCACTTTCAGTCCTTACCTTATATGTTAAAATGTGTTAATGTTAGCCAGGAACCGCCCTCTTACGAATGACAACCCTTAGAAGTCGAAACTAGAGCTAACCGAAGATTAACAATGCCTTTCCTCTGTACGTGTGATCTCTAGCACATGTCGGAAAACCCATAGTTGGAATTCTTGATGTAAATTGAAAATTAATACTGAATTTCAAATGCTGGGAGTAGAATTTGGGTTACAATTGGACCACAGACTGGTTTGCATATTGATGTGCCTGTGCCTGATGTGCCTTTCGAAATATATTTGGTTGGTGTTGATATCTGGTTGGTGATTATTTCATTGATAGATGCGTTACCTATGTCGAGATTATTTATTTATTGTACAAACTCTGCGCANAAGGATTTCCACCAAACGAACTCGCTTGCGAATAGTTTCGTTTTCAAAAACAGAAACAAAAAACTTGTTTAACTTCAAAAACAAACTCGAATTCCACCAAACAAACAAAAAACTAGTCTGTTTTCTTGGGTTTTTGCCTGTTTTCTTGTGAACTGTTTTCTATCGTTTCCACTATAAAAACAACAATTAAATTGCTGCATTTTTCAACTGTTCATTGCTTTTTTCCTAATGGTCTACAAAAGAAAATTAAATCTCATCCTTGCTTGAAATGAACAACAAATCAATAAAAATATCCTACCTAGTGCTGATAATCGAAATTGATACCCACCACAGATTTAACACTTTATATAAATTAATAGTGTCACCTACAGTTTCCACATAGCGAATTCAGTTTATAAAAACACAGACAAAACATCGAAACATTTTGATTTTTCCGTCTGCTGACGCGACGGGACATTTCATTATTGACAAAAACAGCCTGCGACACAAATGTTTCTTATTTTGACAACTCAAGTTTTTGTTTTGTCAAAATCGACACAGTTGCTGTTTTGTTGTGGTTTTGCCCGTTTGATGGAAATACACCATAATGAAGATGATATACCTACATTTGTGATTGTAATAGTTTTGAATGTGCCGCGATTTCACAATTTTATGGCAAAACAAAGTAATTGATTCACTGAATACTCTGATGAAAATATGATTTTCCTCATAAATAATTGAAAATATACCAAATTGTTGACACACCAAGATTGACCTCCAAAAAATGTTTCATACACATATGAGGTGTTCCTGAATGTCATGTAAATATTTGAGGAGGTAATTTTTGGGATGATTCTGAGGAGAAAACTTATAAATCCAAATCCTGAAAGGCTTCTTTTATAACAGGTCATTGAAAATGTACTATTTTTGAAATTTCATTTTTAGCTCTTTATATTTTTAAAGCTATCAAGTTGTAAATTTGCACACTACTTTCTGTTTTCAATTTCCGTGAAGTGAATATGAAAAATAATTGAGTTTCCCATAGGCAGTTACTTTTTTTCAGGCCTCAACCATTTATTCAACACTCCCGAATTTTCATTATGACGACAATAGCTAGTTTTTCTAAAAATAATAATTGTTTTTTGTGTTCAAACATTATTGTCTCTTGCTTAGTTTCAATATCTTCCACTATTCGAGAGATATTTCAGGTAATAACTCAAATGTAGTAGTAGTAGTAGTTTTTTAACCATTTTATGTATATTTATACATTTACGGCAAGTCACGAATAGAAAATACATACAAGTTGCTGGCAATATAAAAAAGTGGTATATACAAGTGAAATTAACATCTAGAACCAATTTTACTGCTTTCGTCATTGGCCTAGAGTTCTGGATAGGCAATGTTAATAACTCCCCGAGCTACCTAAATAGCCTCATGACCGACTAGTCACAGTCTATCAACCATTTAACGTTTCAGAATCATCTCAACTGCAACTAGATAAAGTCTCTTGAGAAAAATATCTTGTCAAGGTAGGGATCAAACTCACAACTTTTCAATCATGAGTTAAGAGCACTACCACCTCTAAATTCAAGTTCAATTTTGTTAGTTTCAATAATGATGTGGTGGTGCAGGTTTTTCTGCAGCTGAAAAAGCAAATGCGCCAATAGAATCAATGAAGTCGCCCCGGAGCGCCAATTAATTTTTGTTGTTTCATAATTTGTATTAATTTCTTCTTTAATATATACTAATAATGATCATTGATCTCTTGAGATTGATATAATCATTATAACCTTTTCGTTTCTTGATGTTTTTCAATGATTTCACATGTATAATAATTACAGTTGAGTAAAGATGCTTTACTCTTGAGTAAAATTCGTATTTTTTTATAAAACTCGTATACACTGAAGTAATTTGATAACCGATGGTTGCTTTTCAAGTTTAAGCCTTTGCAGAACTTTTACTGAAGAATAACTTATTTGCTAAAATTAATAATAGAGAGAGTTTTCCGTATGGTTCCAACTTACAGTGACATATATGTTTCACTCAAAGAATTGCCGATCCTATCAAAACTCATGTCAAGACTAGCTTCACATACAAATCATCCTTGTATAAACAAATTTGTTCAATTGAATCAGGTTTGTCCATAATTGAAAACATAACTAAATTCTTGAATTCAATACACTTCAAACAGGAACACAAATGAAATTAAACATCAAATCACAGTTACATGTTTATTGAAGCGCTTACATGGAACACCTTCAGGGCAAAAATGATTTATTCCTAAATTACATAAAAAATGAAAATGTCAATACATCTATTTTGAACTATGCATGCATAAATATTTTTCTTCAATCAAGTTCACAGTTAAGTACATATTGAGGGACCCTTCTAGGGGTTAGCAAGAATGAGAACAATAAACAGTTGGCAATCACACCTCTTAATTTTCTTCCTTGGACTGAGAGGCCGAATCGAGGATTATTTCGAATGAAAATGGCTGGAATCCGTAGCCAGCACCCATGTAGAACTTGCTCTGGAATTCCACCCTGTAAAAAAATTAACTTTATTTCAACGTTCCCAAAAAACATTGGCTGTTTATAATAGGGAAATTCAAACTCAAAATGTGTTTAAAATTAAATAAACACTTAGTTCATTGAAAATTAATAACTACAGTTGGGTCTGCGATAAAACACATACTTTCATATAGCATCTTTTTCTTCTACAAGTAAAAAATAAAAACGAAGCAGTCAACTTTTGCTTTTGATCAAAGAGAGCTCTTGTTTTTTGATAAGTTGCACTCGGTACATCGATGAGAGATATCTATACAAATGTAAGTCGTCGGTAATCTCGTAGATTTTTAAATGAACTGATGACATATTACTATACCATGTTGCTCATTGAAAAGTTTTTGCCGTTTCAATTCACATATACTACATAAATAGTTGTTTTTGCAACTAACAAGTTGCGGATAAACTTTATATTATCATGATTATGAATTTCAATCTCAAATTGGTAATGGCTCTGTCTGGAATATTGAAATTGACAGATATTGAACATAAAAAATGAATCATAAAACATGTTTTCACAAAATAATTGATGAAAGTGTTATTTACATCCACTGTATATGCACTTTCAAAATTTGATTCTTGTTATTAAGGCCTAAAATATTTATGATTTACAACTTGCTGGACTAATTTATATTTACTTCAACATTAGTTCAATATTGTTCATAAATATAAAATTAGGGCCAAAACCAAACTTTGTGAAACTGCATCATCACTTTTACAATTATGATTATTACCACATATTGTTATCGAGTTTGAAAACTGATTCTTGATGAGATGTTCACGTGACTTTTTTATCATGTCTTACCAGTGTAAACGCAAAGTATGCAAAAAGGCTGACAGTCCCTCCATGAGAACCAGAATGGAGACTGTGAGTACAGACCAAACAGCAAAAATGATGTATATGGCTATACCTCCTAACCAGTCGTCAACTTTTAAACCTTTGTTCATCACCATCATCCATAAAACCTCAGACAATTCTGAAAAGGACAGAAATTAAAATAAACTCATTAATATATAATATAGGGAAAATACCGGTTCACGGACCCCACAAAAACTTCTCTCAACTCACTGATACTACCCAAATATACACAATTCTCTCTATTATAGAAATAATTTTGAATAGACTAAACTCAAAAACTGAATATACAACAGATAACAGATGAAAACATGGATTGGGAAACAATAAAACGCATTTAATATATGTGATAGAACTGGCTGATACTTGATGAAAGTCCATAATTTATTCAAGTAACACTTAGTGTAACACAATGAAGTGTTGAATTTCATTAGTTCGGACTTCCATTGTCTGATATTATATAAAATGATTTGAAATCCCTGAAAGAATTATTGAAAACGAGAATAGCTGAAGATAACAATTATATTAAGCAAAAAAAAAACAAACCTGAAATGAAATAACAGTGAAATAAAATACGAGTAAAAATAGAACAATTGAACAAAAAATTAAAAATGAAAAGTTGAGATTCCAAGTCAAGTTATTTCACGACGTTTCGATTGTTAGTATCCACAATCGTTTTCGGGTGATGACTGGACTAATTCCTCCGAGAGATGACTATTTATGGGTCATTTGAGTACTTTATCTTATTTCCGCTTCACCGGTTTAGTGGGAGATGACCGTTTGGCGGGAGTTGGGTTATTTTTCGCTTGATTATGAGTTTCCAAATGTTGCGTACCTATACGCTAGCTTGGCTGAATATATTGTTGGACAACATGGACGCGGCTTCTTTGAATTTCCTCCTAAACCAATGTTCCTCCCTATGTATCATCTCACCTTGGGACTATTCGATGTTATGTTGATGAGTCCAAACATGCTCTGCTATTCCTGATTTGCTGATTTCTCCTCGCTGTGTATGTTTCTTGTGCTCGGCAATGCGAACATTCAATGACCTCTTAGTTTTACCGATATAGGATTTTCCGCACTCACATGGTATCCGGTAAATGCAATTCTTGGAATCGCAGTCCCCGTTTGGTGCCCTGGTTTTCGTGAGGCTGCTACGGATAGTGTTTAAGGATCTGAAGCAGGTTCTGGTGTTGTACTTGGAACCAATTCTTCTTATCCTTTCCGATAATCCTCTGATGCAGGGAAGTGCAAGCACTGGTTGTGACGGCTTCCCTTCCTTGCGAGGCTCCTGCTGTCTTTTAGCCAAAGTCTGTTCCACCATTGCTTTGGAGTAGTCATTCCGTTTAAGATCATTTTTGATGATATCTAGTTCCTTCTCGAGACCTTCCTTCGTATTACAGAGCTTGAAAGCACGGTCTGATAGAGTCTTGATGATTCCTCTTTTAGTCAAAAGTGGTCCTGACGTGTTCCCATTTATAATAAGACTAGATATCGGACATTTGCTTGTTCTCTTACCAGCCTAGTCAAACTTTTCTTGAATTAATGGTAGAATCTGTACGTTCTGAAGTGTCAGTATCCTTGTTTAACTGATATTTATTTCTCATCTTCATTTTGAAATTATTTGTCTATCGATTTCTAAGAATATTGCCTGTTAATGCCAACTTTTGACAAAACGTGAGTGAAAAAAAAAATTTGGTATATTGAAAAGGAAGGAATCAACCTCGAATACTCCTGGGAAATATCACGTTATTGATCAATAATATCACTAAACAAGCCACCATTTTGAAAAATAATATAATACTAACGAGAATGAGCCAATGACAAAGCCCACAACCGAAGATAGGATGCTGTGTGAGAGACGGATCCAAGGACATACTCGATAGTGTGAATGCCCTGGTGGATGAATATCTCGCTGAGGGGCTCTTCTTCATGACCCCCATGAGCAACAGGCGGCTGAGCTGTGTTATTGTGCATAGGTTGTTCCGCATCCCCATTTTCAGTAGCAGACTGCATTTGTTGATGGGAGACCTATTGGAGGAAACAAATTTATGAAAGTGGAAATCTCATATTAAAGTGTGTTTTTTGAATAAGTAACACTCTTATTTTATTTTCTGAGAAGAAAGTTTGGATTATGAACTTTGTGACTGTTCCATCTTATCAGAACAATTAACAGATAGATAGATAAATATTCATTTATTGATAATACACCAATTTACATTAGATTGATAAGTCAAAAACAGAACAATTTTAAAATAATGAAACAATAAAAAACTTACACTGTTCATTGACAGTCCGAAATGAATTCTGAAATACTATAAAATGCCCTAGATGACAGATAACATTTCAATTTTGAACAGGTTTGGCTGATTCTTCAAGTCAACATGTATGTTGAAAATTTTTGCCGCTGCATATTTTGGGGGTTTATTATAAGTCGAGTAGTTGACAATTTCCAATCTGAATTGGTTTCTTTGATGGGTTTGAATAAAATCAAATAGATACTCGTGAATGTTAATATTCTCTGCAAGATTCTCAAAAACCCAAGTGGAATATCAATCTTATGATTCTTTTCTGTGCTACGAAGACTCTGCTGCTGCCAGTAGTGGGACCATAAACTATAATATTATGACTAATAGAAGAATATACAAATGCATTAGAAACGCCCATGAGATCTTTTTCATTTAAGCAGCTCTTTAAATTTCTCAGACCAAAGAAGTGCTTATTCAAGGTGGAATATAGTGACCCAATGCATTTATCCCATTTGAGGTTTTCGTCGACGATTGTACCCAAAAAATTGGAGCTACTTTGAAATGATGAACTGTTTATATCCAGGTTTTCACCGATGGCTCTTCCCGTAGTCGATATGTGGAATTGAATAGCAACAGTTTTCGAGTAGTTCATTATTAAATTGTTCTTCTGACACCACTGGTCGAATTGATTTATTAACATTTTGAGCTATTTTTCTAACAAACGTTATTAAAAGCAAATGAAGAGGCTCAAAAAATATAATTCAAGTCAATGAATTTTTATTAACTATATCAATAATAAATATATCATAAACAATGTTTATTCATTGATTTAGCAACTATCAAGCAGATAACAAAAACACCCATTAGACTGTAATATTCAGACAATGTTCAAAGTTCACAGAAAAAATATCACATACTTTCAATTATCGGAATCTGAATGGACATGTGAGTAGTAACTAATAATTATTCAGTTAATCTCGTATCTGTTTATCAATGTTTTTTCGAAAAGTTTAGACAAATAAGTAAGAATACCTATAGGTCTCAAATCTGAGAAGAATTGCTCAGGGGGCATATTTTCCATAAGAGGAATTACAAAAACTTTTTCCAAAGCATAGGAAATGTGTACGTGTTGACGATTTCGACATGAATATATGTCTGATATAGGAGAGAGATTATGAAAGGGCAACAGTATAATAGCATTCTACAGCTCATTTCGGCTGAACCTACAGCCTGAGATCGAATATACAGTGAATAATTGAAAATATTTTCATCTGATATTCTTCTGAATGAGAAGTTGCAGCCTCATCTTTGAAATCATTCTTGAAAAAAACTCATTATTTCAGGATTATTAGTCTTATTGTTACTTGTAACGCTTGCTATGACTAGCTTACTTACTGAATAGTGCTGTGACTTTCTACGTTCTCTCATGATCATCACAGGTTTGGCAAGCAACATCCAAGGTATGCAAATGATAGCACAAATCAGCAAAAATTTCTGGATACCCTGCTGACCAGCAAACATGTCTGAAGTAAGACAATCCGGGTCGTAGGGTGTTTTCTTCTGCAGAACCATGTTGATGAATGTGATGAGGATTGAAGGTGCACATCGTGAACCATATATTAAATCTTTCTCTGTGAACAAGTTACGAATATGTATGAAACTGGCGACGTTAGGTACGAATTCAACTTACCGTCAATATTGGCAAAGTACATGAACCATTTGATGAACATTAGCAAAACCATGTAAAGAAATAGGAAAACGAGGAATATTAGTTTCGGCAGGAATTCTGTGATTATACTCAGTTTGTCCTTGAAATACCTAAAAATAATGAATGATCAGAAAACTCTGAAATAAATTAAAATAAAATATTGTGGTATATTCAATGTATTATAAAAAAAGACAAAGAATCATAATACACAGAAAGGCAACTATAAGTTGAAACCACAGCATTTGTGATTTAACACCAAGTATTGCTGTTTCAATCATTGGGTTTCTATATAAAATAAGAAACTATATTTCTTAGAAGCTAATTTACTTCTTACTCGTTCATTCAAAATCAGTATTTCATTAGTATATGGTGAACTGCTTGAAATATAACTTTGAAACCATTGAGGAGATTACAAAATAAGGCCGTTATGAAGAATATAAAAAAAATTACTGTGAAATGTACATGGAATACTGAAATGTACATGATCATCAAACAAGACACAGCTCAATAATCTATATTTTACATAGGAATGACTGTATATAATGAATTACCAAATTGAGTAGAGGAATATACACTTACAGACAAAAATATTGCATATTTTATTGTAAGCCTTGATTTCATGTTTATTTCTATTGGTCTGAATCTTTATGCAGTTTTCATTACTAAATGGTACATGCTGAAGTATTTAATGTATATTGATTGCCAAATAATCCAGATACTGAAATGAAGAAAAGAGAAATTGAACTTTCTAATTTTTCTTTTCTTCATTATGATTCAACTTACAGATACTGAAACTTTATAACACACATTTAGAAGAAGTAATGGAATAGACTACCTACTTTTGGTAATAATATTTAATCAGAACCAGTAACAATGACGACAAAATAAAAGTTCTTTGAGGCAACTTAATAACAGTTCAGTACTTAGTGTTTCCTTCCCTAGCTTTAACGATAGCCTGCATCCTCCTTAGCTTACTACGCAAAAGGTCTTTGATGGTTTCTTGGAATTCGATTCCATTCTTCCTGTGCAGCAATTCTTAATTCTGCAATTGAGTTAGGAGCTGGATTTCGTGCTCGTATATGTTTTTTTATGATGTCGCAAATATGTTCTATGGCATTTGCGTCAGAACTATTTGGTGTCCACTCACCTGCCTCAAGTCCAACAACTTGAAAATACTGGGGGACTGTTCATGCAGCATGTGCACGAGAGCATTATCTTGCATTAGCACGAAATTGTCATAACCAATGAAGCCGCCGTAAAGTGAAACATGCTCTTCAAGGATGTTGCTTGTGTACCAGTCAGCATTCATTCTTAAATTCACCTCTATAAGCTCAGCGCGACGGTCCCAACTAATGCCACCCCACAACATAATGGAACCACCACCAGGGCTAACGTTTTGTACAAGATTACACTCTGTGAAATGTTCTCCAGATCTTCTGTATACTCGACCACGTCATTCTGGTTTCCATAACTGTATTCTTGTTTCATCTGTGAAAATCATTTTTCCAGTTGACGTGGGCTATGGCAAATTGTAACCGTCTAGATTTGTGATGTGGGAGAACTCTGGCAGGGTGTTTTGGATTTAAAACAACTTCTTTGAGTCTTCTTATTACTGTTTTGATACTTATGTTAACTTGTCTTGTGCTCAGTAAATCATTTCTGAGATGCAGAGCTGTAAGCGTGTGATTTTGCAAAGATTGAATTTTCAAATATGGGTCATCTCTTGGCGTTGTACATTTTTTTGATCCTCGATCAGGCAGCCTTTTGAACTCCACAGTCTCATTGCATCCCTTTACAATACGAGGAACAGTCAATTGATGGATATGCAATCTCCGCGCAATATCTTCTTGTCTGCATCCATCATTGACTAAAATAACAATTTTAATACAAACTAATTTGCTCAAAAATGCGGCATCTCACTGAGAAAACTCAAAATAAAGATATAAAGTACACGAAATGTCATTCTGACAACATTAATCAAAACAATAGATAATAATAGTGGCAAAGGCACACTATTCAAAGTTTGTAATTTGTACCATTATTTTACTTATTCAGCTCTAGCGACTATGTGCAAGCATTATTCGTATAATACTTTGGCCTTCGAACATTTATCAATAAAAATAAATAATGTGTTAAGAGAAAGGAAATTAACATGAAAAAAAAATTTGAAATACAATATGCAATATTTTTGTCCAAGAGTGTATAACAGCCATATCCTCATCATGCCATCAGCTTAAGTCTGATATGTACCGTCAATTTAAAATTTGATATTGTATTGACATCAGTTAAATACAGTGTTGAACCTGAAACATTAGGGTAACTAGAAGTAATACATTTTATAGAGCTTTTATAGCTCATATTTTGCATAAATTGTGGCCTGTTCTCTAAATAATTTAGAAAAGTAATATTATGGAATCATCTGAAGTGTTTAATGTTTTATTTGTTATGTATGTATATAAGATTTCAATGATGAAACACAATCAAAAGTGATACCGAGATCTTTTATATTTTGAGTTCTAAAAAGTACTATATTATCCAACTCACATTAAATAACAATTTTCACTAGTTCGGACTTTCATTGTCTACTATATAAAATGATTTGAAATCCCTGAAACAACTAAAAGGTTTGGTGAAGAGGACCGACACTAAGTGGAAAACATCTGTATACCGAAAACCCACTCATACGGGACAGAAATAAGCTCATCACCACTCCGAACAACATGTGGATCACGCCAAAAATAATGGAAATCTTCATTTTGAAAGAGTTCTGGAATATGATCTTATTCTTCGATAGTTGCCACACCGGATCCAGCCCTATAGGATAGGACGAACCTAAAAAGTTTTTCGTCGTTTCTGGCAGCAAAGTGAACTCATGCTGCAACTTCAATTCTTCCTTGGTCACATTGAAGATTCTCCAACTCGAACCGAATATGTTCAAAGATTTGGCGAAAATATCGTTGTAAATCAAACCAGAGTACATAGAGAAAATACCCATCAGAAGAATGATGTATCTGCCGCCAAAGAAGATGTTCCATATCTGTGAAACATTTTGAACTGAGTCATTATGACACTTAGAAGTGTTAAGAAGGGTGTTTACGGCCCCAAACTCATAATTTGGGTTAGATACAGATTATGTAATTCTGAACAGAGAACCTCAAAATTCAATTTTGACCACAGTAAGAGTAAAAAAAAAATAGATTAATTTTTAAAGAACAGTATTGTTGCAGAATAATGTCCATGTCAAATTCGGCTGAATTATTTTTGACAGTTGCCACTATCAGTGGATCTATCACTGTTTCCACCATCTCCAAACAGAGGACACCAGTCAGATTTTCTTCAATGAATAACGGACCTATAATGTGGTCACACAGTATTCCTGCCCACACATAAACTTTTTGGGAAAACTCAATATGAGTTTCGCGAAAAAGTCGAGGATTTTCATCAGACCAGTACCTCACATTTTGTCTATGTACATGACCGTTTAAAAAAAATTAGCCTCATCACTGAAACGAATTCTAGATGGCGGTCTGGATCATAGTCAGTCAGCTCATGCACCATGCACCACTCTCAATACCGTCATCTGTAAAATCTCACAGTTCAAGGCAACAGTTCTACTCGATGAGGACGGATTATTCACAAACTCACTCATAATGTCCACTTGTTTATCTTCCCCTGTATTTGATCGCCCAGAACGTGTTTTATTTTGCACACTGCCGTTCTCATAAAATTTTTCCACTGTTTGAAATAATGCCTATCAATAGGGCGATCTGGAAAACGTTTATTCAACATTCGTACAGCCTCATGATAATTGCGATCAGCCAAAAATAAAAATAACAATCACTTCGCATTTCTCATTTAACGCACGTGGTGCAACCATTGTTTGAAGAAGAATAGCAAGCACAACTAACAGCTATAATACACTGACTCGCACTCTCCGTGATATCAGTTTCTTTTTTTTTCCAATCATAAATTAATTTTATTAAAACAACGATAAAAATAAAAACAACAATAAAAATTAATTTGCGCTCCGATTGACTTCATCGATTCCAGTGGCGCATTTGCTTTTTCAGCGGCAAGAAAATCCGGAAAAACCTGCAGCACCACATCATCTGAAGTTTCTTGTGTTGACCATTTATACTCAAACATCTAAAAACACCTACAAAAACGTGCAGTTAATATCTACGCAAATATCTACGTTTCACTTAACGTCTGAAGCAAAACCCATATCATACAGGGCCGAATTTTTGATTCTAACGGTGATTGCGCTACGTTAATTGTCGTTATTCTTAAACAATCATAACTCTTGAATTAATGTAGAGAATATCAATTTCTTTGCACGGCTGAATAGAGAATAAAACCCCCTATCAAATAAGCTATCACTCATCACCCCATGCTATTTACATTTTTCGAAAGGGTTGCTCCCCTCCAGTGAGGGATGAAATTAGGGGTGAACTGTTCATATTCAAATGTACATTGTAGAAATCAAAAATCGACGTGTGTTGGCGATTTTCCTAACAACAGTCCCGTAAAGAGTTAGAAAGGGGGGTAACACACTGTATATTCAAGACGACAGTAGCAACATAAAAAATAAAAAACCGTACGATTGTACGTTGAACAGGATTGAACACTCCACGTATGCGAGTTAAAACACCAGGTATTTCACTACCGAATTCTATTTCATAACGTCCAGTAGACATTAGATCTTCCATGACAATTATGTTTATAATTGTTATTTCACTCAGCTACAATCATCAAATAGTTTATCTTAAAGATATTAATTGTTAGGTTCATAACTGAACTCTAATGCTTGAATGGTTTCTTAATTGAAACGTTGTTGATGTACCATTTGGGCTTTTATTGTGGAGTTAGTGTACTTGATAAATGAAAAAATATGTTACTTCCTGACATCTGAAATTTTATATGTATGATTACACAATAAGTAAAAAACAAACTTCATCATCAGTAATTGAGGTACTCACCTCATTATCGGATTTCTTGGCGGCCAGAGGCTTCTCCTTGAGTACCATCCAAGCGCCAAAGAGGGTCATCAGCAATCCATGACCCATATCGCCGAACATCACGCCGAAGAGAAAAGGAAAGGTTATGATGGTATACGGGGCCGGATTCATTTCCCTGTAAGACGCCATGCCGTAGGCGTCAATAAGAGTTTGGAAGGCGGAAGTAAATTTGTTCGTGTGATTGTAAGTCGGCGGGTTCTCCTGCGATTCCATCCTGTTCAAGATTGGAGGAACTGAACTACCGCTGCGTTCCTTGAAAGGAAAAAAAAACATGTGAATCACAAAAAAGAAAATACAATGTTCAGTGATTTGGGGTCAAATCAATCCTTAGAAAAGGAATGAAATACTTTAACAAAAATTACAAACCGGTAGGTTATCTAGCCGTCACTTCAAATTGATGGAAAATGACTATTAACATTCGATATCAAGTTTTTTAAAGAGCTAGAGTTATTTGGGATCTCAAGATATCTGTTTGATGTAAGACATTATTATTTGGATTGTGATGCATTGTTTGGAACCTTTAGTGTAGTAATGCAAGAGGAAGATTAATCTTCTACTTGAAGATGATCACTTATTGATTGAAACACGTGTCGAGGTGTTAAAAGTAGCGGTTTGGTATTGGGTTAGAACTCCAGTAATATTTATCATTATTTGAACCAAAATTCCAAGTGAGCTTTTGAGATTTGATATTTAGCACTAAGATATGGAAGTAATTGATATTATTTTGAACGTATGTTTCCAAAAGTACTAACAACGATTCGCTTGATTTCCTAAGTGGAATTTGGAACCTCTGTTGTGAAAAGAAGCTATTGAAAACCAGAACAAAATTCCTGTCCCTCGACATGGAATAGACAGGGAATAGCCCCTTAAATTGATCAACTGACGATCTTTTACATATTGATATATAGCAATAAATTATTAGGTTTTTCAAAAGTTTTGTCTGGTTATATGTGTCTAGTTCAAACTGTAATATCTCATGAAAATTGGGTAACCAGGATTTGATGAAGTAGGCGAATGCCATTTTTGCCTGGTCCTGATTGGCGAAAGTTCTATCGGCGGGAAAGTTATTGAAGTACCTGCAAAAATTATAGGAAGAAACTTCAGTGACGTTAGTTACAAATAAAAGTGGTAAAAAACATAGAAAGTTTCAATTCTCTTTTCTTCAATATAATTCTTACAGGCAAGAAACATTAGATACAATACAACAACACCAGCAGAGAGTATTAGATGGCTAAGTGAAGAATATGGTTTTTAAAGCGGGAACCAGGTATATTAAAGATTTAAAGGTTATTTAAAGAGTTAGCCAATGGAAGAGTTCTGGGATTAAAGCTGTTAAGTATATAAATAATTGAACATGTGAAAAGAAACGTAAAACTTTTGCACCTGTCTAGTTGAACGACTGGGGACATGTAACGATATTTTGTAGAGAAACTCGGGGCTGATACTTAGTCCATTGATAATTTTGAATAGAAGTATTGAATCTCTGTTTTCTGCGAGCCTCAAGAGAAGGTATGTTCAAAATGCATTCCAATGCTGTATAGTCATGAAATTAGGGGTGAACTGTTCATATTCAAATGGACATTGTAGAAA